CAGCAGAAATAGGGCGCCTCCAGCAGAAGTTGGGCTCACCAAGCAGGAGAGCGACGCCCAACTGCCCATTCCCAGCAGATGAGAGTCGTCCCAGCAGCAGATGGGCGCCTTCAGCAAGAGGGGCGTCTCATTACAAGAATAAAAATACCTTCTGTGCCAGAGGGGCGCCCCTGGCAGCGGAAGGGCACCCCTAGCAGGAGAGGTGTCCCTCTGAAGAGGAGCGTCGCCCCAGCAAAAGGAGAGAGGCGCCCCATTCCGAGAAGAAGAGGGGCGGCCTGACAGCAGATGGGCGCCCCAGCAAAAAAGAGGAGCTCCATAAGAAGAAAATGGGTGCCACTGGCAGAAGAGGGGCGCCCCCGGCAGCAGAAGGGGTCCAGCAGAAAAAGGGCCTCCTGCGGGAGAGGGGCGCCCCCAGCAAAGTCGAGGGGCGCCCCAGCAGAAGAGAGGGGCCTCCAGCAGGAGAGGGGCGCTCCCAGCAGAATAGGGGCGCCCCAGCAGAAGAGGGGCGCCCAGCAGAAGAGAGGCACCACAGCCAATGTTAATCAGAAATAAGGAGTTCCCAGCAGAGGTTGGGCTCGCCAAGCAGGATAGGGGCGCCCCATTGACAATATTCGGCAGAAGATAGTTGCCCCGGCAGCAGATGGGCGCCCCAGCAGACAGCAGTCGTCGGGTGCCCCAGTAGAAGAGGGGCGCCCCATTACAAGAAGAAAATGAGTATATCCTACACAAGAGGGGCGCCCCTGACAGCGGAAAGACAACCCCAGCAGAGGGGCGGTGCCCCAGTAAAAGGAGAGGGGTGCCCGCTACGAGAAGAGGGTCGCCCCAACAACAACAACAAAAGGAGACCCATAAGAAGAAAAGGGGTGCCTCTGGCAGAAGAAAGACGTCCCCCGTAGTGGAAGGCGGTGGAAGAGCGCCCCCCCAGAAGAGTGGCGTCTCCAGCAAAAGAGAAGTGCCCCCTGCAGGAGAGGGGCACCTCATCAAAAGTTGGGCAGAAGTGGGGCGCCTCCATCAGAATTTGGGGTCGCCCGACAGGAGAGGGCCGCCCCATTCACAGTAGAAAAAAGGACTCCCCAGCAGCAAAGGGGTGCCCTAACAGAAAAGGTGCACTGCTAGTAAAAGTGGGACGTATCAGGAAGAAGAGGGGCACTTCTAGCAGAAGATGGGCGTCCCAGATAAGTGGGCCGCCTACAGCGAATTGGTCGTTCTTATAGAATGAAGAAATGAGGCGACTTAAGCAAAGTGGGCCTCCCATGAGGGATTGGGCGATCCAAGCAGAGGTTGGGCGCCCCCGGGAGAAGTGAGGCATACCAGCATAAGTGAAACGCTTGCTCGAGATTGTACAGAATGGCGCTCGTCCAAAAGAGATGCCTTTCGGTTTTCTCCCATAGACTTAATATACCTACCTACCTATTGGAGAGGTCGCAAAGCTGACCTGACCCTAGGTCACAGATATCAAAGTTACAAGATATACATTCCATGAATATTGCTGCTTTCATCAAACGCTGAAAGTTTTAAAATGATCGTTCAGTCGGTGTAGCAATGGTGAGCATTTGAATTGAACTTTTGTCTGAGGTTAGGTCACTTGGCATGACCTGGTGACCTGACCTTGCATCACCCGGGTCTGACATTTTTACAACATGTGCAGAAAAGGTGCATGATAAGGTATGCTGAAAATGGCGGCGCTGCGCGCAGCCGTTTTTCCCATATTTGCGAAAAACCGGAGCGGGGAGCGTGATAACGCCCCCAGCACGGAGCGAGTTTTAAACTCTCGATTTTGACGGTTTGGCGCCCCTTCGTATGAAGCGCCCCCGGATTGCCAGGTCGCCCCTATTTCGACTTGCCGCCCCCCCTCCCGAAAATTCCTGGATCCGCCCCTGTTAAACTGTGTGCTCCTTTATTTGAAGATATTTAATCAATTCCTTTTTAGATGCACTTCTTATCTGTGTCGGCAAACTGTTCCACAATTTTGAATTCCCCAATTTTGAATTGAAGGTGTTACGCCGCTACTGTGTACCAGGGGTATAATAAAATCGTTTCCGCTGTATTTTATAAATATACTAAAACGTCTCAAAATTTACAATAAGAAGAACAGCTTCCAGCAATCTGCAAATCTCGTTGCCTGCTGAGCTCGGGCGGTGTTACCCAACGGTCGGTGTTACCCCGAAAAATGTAGACATTTACTAAATGTGGAATAATGCAATAATGAACGATACTACAAGAAAACGGTTGATATGTATGTAAAATTGATGCGACAATCCAATGAAACTGAGAGTTTGATCATTTGGCCAAAAATTACGTGACTAGACCCTAAAAGGTTAAGGGGTCGGTGTTCCCCCGTCTTCCCCTACAACTCGGTGAACTTAGCACATCCTGAAAGTTTGAAGGAAATCAGTTCAAAACTGTGAATTGAACAGGTGCATAAAGAAAATTGAAATTTGACCATGACCTTGTACCGGTTTTTCTGACCTGGTGACCTGACCCAAGGTCACCCGGACCTGAAATTTTCAGGTCATATGGAAAAATGCTGCCCTATAAGCTGTGCCAAATTTGGCGGGGCTGGGCGCCGCCGTTTTTACGCTATCACCTTGGGGGGGGGGGTTGCATCGACCCCCCCTGCCAGGGTGAGGGTTAACCCGCGCCCCGCTGGGCTATTCAGCCATACGCGCCCTGCTGGGAGGGGGGGGGGGCAGATTCTGCCCCCTGTCCGAACTTCCGAAAAAAAAATCCTGTCCTAACTTCCGATGGTCGTAGAAAGACGGGGAAAACGGCAATCGAAAGCTCTCAACAAGGCAGATCTTAAGAGCCCAAATTTTTTTGCTTAAGTAGGTCAGAGGTCAGGTCAAGGTCAGGTCAAGGGTATGAAATGCAAGTTTCTACAATATCGGCCTTGCACCGTAGTTGCCGAAGAATGGACTGAGAATGATTGCCCAAAACGTGTTCTTAGACTACCAAGACAATATTCGTTGCATACAATGTCATTCAAAGGTCAAGGTCAGGTCAGGTCAGGTCACCAAAAACAAAATATAGGAAAGGGCATGTGCGACACATGTTTTATGGGTCATTTTACTCATAGAATTCAATAGGCACACTCACTAAGTGATATGGACCACCTCTGGATGAATTTCAGGTCGAGGTCAGGTCAAGGTCAGGTCAAGTGAGGTCAAATTTTAAAGTTGGTTGTTAAGGCCTAAAAAGGTGTCTATCTGATGCAGTTTTCACGGCGAATCGAATGGTGCTATTTTGTTTCCGTACCAAGTCTAAAACTTCCAAAAAAATCATTTTTTTCCAAATTTGTGTGTGTCGTTACGTCATAAAATTTTGAATAACTCCCACATTTTTCAACAAATTCTTCTAAAAATTGGTATGTAGGTGCACATAGACCACTTCTCTGACATATATTCCGTTTTTTCGATATATCCAAAATTTTGGATTTTATAATTATTTTCCCAAAAAAAGTCAGTTTTTTTTAGAAAAAATCTCAACGGGGCGCGGGATAAAGCTGATGAGGAGCCTGATTCAAATTTACAGGTCTCACGGGTTTTAGCGGTAGGTTTTGCACCTGGAAAATTTAGTTTACTTCAGGCTATATCTTCGTCGCCTTAAGCTTTTAAGTGTTGAAGATGCGATCGACTTGTTGGTTCACAAACCGGCCATGGTCGTGTAAAATGGCTTCATCGTAGATCGATTAGTTTCTGAGATATAACCGGAAATGTAAAAGTGCAAAACCTACCGTTTAATCTCGCGAGAGCCGTACGGCATGGCTGTATAGCAGTGGTCGCCAGGTCCCTCGGGGCCGTGCCCCCTTTTCGGACACCAGGCAGGGCCATTACCCCCACCTACCAGACACGATTGCCTACGCAGCCAAGTTAACTGAAAAGTCACATACCCTTCCGCGATTCTTTGGGTATTATGGGTATTATATAAAAAGCGTCGGATCACGACAAAATTGTACCCTCGAGCCGATCATCTTTTTTTTTTACCTGCCCTAAAACATTTCATGACCTTGACACAAATAACCGTTGACTTGTTAGTTCTTTCTTGGGATCATGGTAGGCCACAAAATCTGAATTCAAGAAGTTATGGAGGGTCCCGATCTTTTCGACAATTGACATTGACCTCTTGAAAGTCACCCAATGGCCATGAAACTTAAAATTGGGTAGTAGCGGCTTCCTGTCGTCACGGGTGGCGCGCTCGTTTTTTACTGCAAAGCTCCAGCTCAGAGGCCGAGAGGCTGGGGTCCGATCGGCCCCTCCCTCTTTACGTTAGATGCTATGAAAACGCCAATAGACGGGCGGCGGCTAGCGTTCGCCCTGGACTTATCTTTGAAGTCTGAGGCCAAACAGTCGTGATGCCTGTCCCACCAAGGAAGCCATTAATTCTAAGAAGAGGCTTTCTCAGAGACCCTCATTACCTCCGGCCGAGGGCTCCATTACCTCCAAAGGGGGCATGCCCCACCATTTGCCGACCCCTGCTGTATAGTGTACAGTGCAAGATGTGGATGTGCAGGATGGGACTGTACAGGATAGCGCGTTTTTGTGCAATATTTTTCGAATTTCGAGGGACTGAACTGATAACAAAGTTTTCAAGCTACTATGCCGTTTTATAATAGACAACAAAGCGTTCAAGCTACTACGGTATCGCTTTTATAACATACGGAAAGGCTTCTTCAGGCTCATGATAATGATAAATTGATGAAAGAAAAAAATATATATTATGTGTAATCTGAAAAGGAAAGATATTTTTCTACTATACATTATACTTCATACTGTATTCGTTTACTATGAGGCTTTGCCTTTCTTTCATCAATGTGCTAATCATGTATTTTGTCGAAAAAGGAATGCAATGAGCGCAGCAGTGCAGTGGTGGCCGGTGGGCAGTAAGTGCCCGGTGCGGTGGCGGGTGGCCCGTCCTGCCCCACGTCACGCGTGAGTCCGCCCGTCCATGGGCGGCCCGTCCTCCCCCACGTCACGCGTGTGTCCGCCCGTCCGTGCTCTCAGGAGGCCGAGCGCCGCGAGCTGGAGCTAATTCGCCAGCACCGCGCCGCCAACCTGCAGAAGCGTCAGACGGACGGCAACAGCGGCACCTACTGCGTCTGCCAGCAGCGGCCGCGGGCCGCCATGCTGCAGTGCCAGCTGTGCTGCGACTATTTCCACAGTAAGTGCGCCCCGCGCCCGGCCGGCGCCGGTGCGTGGCTCGCTCTCGTGTGGCGCCATTGGTGCTCAGTGAGGTGGCTCGCTCTCGTGTGGCGCCATTGGTGCTCAGTGAGCACCCTGGGCTCACCGCGTCTCCAGGGCGCACCCTGAACAGGCCGTGACACAGGACTGGACACTAGCTTTGGCTCAACTCCAGCTACAGGAAACGGCTATTACATGAAAGTTTTTTTCTTTTATTTCAGTCGATCCTCAATTGACGTGGCCAGGAAATTCGGATATGTATAAGATTGGCCCAGGCTTCTGTATGTAAACATTAGCCATCCCGCGTCACCACTCTCCAGGCTCGTGTGTGTACTGTATACATTGTCCGCCATGCGTCTCCAGGCTCCTGTATGTACTGCATAGTGCATACACTGTCCACCTCGCGTCTCCAGGCTTCGATATGTACTGTGTACATTGTCCACCCCGCGTCTCCAGACCTCTGTATAAGGGGAGGTTGGGGTAATTTGGCCGTTTTTTTTTTTTTTAGAAAACGAAGTAACTTAACACGCGCACTGCAGCGGGTCTGAGCCGAACACGAACTGCAGGGGGGGGGGGTTGAAAACAACCCCCCCTGAGATCTCGAAAACGGCGCAACGTAGCGACAAGCGGTAAACGGCGTTGGATAGGTTGAGATGAGATCTACAAGAAATACTAAGATCATTTTTGGGTCAGGTCAAAAACGAGGTCACCAGAGGTCACCGAAGACAAAATGTTACGATTTTCACAACAGGAATTTCGCGGTAGTTTTTCTTGAATAACTTGTCTTGCACACAAGACAGAGGATCGATTCGAACGCCATCGTTCTTAGCTCGTCAAGGCGCATCGAATGATATATGATATGACCTCGAAAGGTCAAGTTGAAAAATTGACCTCAGGTCAAGGTCATGACCTGACCGAAATAGGTCATGTTGCATATCATTCGATCCGCATTGACGAGAAAAACACGATAAACGTCGAACGGAGTCTCTATCTCTATTCAATCTCAAGTTATTGAAGAAAAACCGCTGGTGACCTCAGGTGACCTAAGATGACCTGGAGATCACCTTCCAAAGGTCATAAGTGATATGTTTCGGTGAAATCACCAACAGGGACCTGTAATACTATGATCCTGAGCGTATTGAAGTCATAGGATGGCATTCAGAGTAAGTTGAAATTTCTCCCATTGACTTATAATGGGCCGGTCGCAAAAATGACCTGACCTTAGGTCATCGATATAAAAATTCCGAGATATACAAGTTGTAGCTCGTGATGACTTTACTATTTCCTGTGGGTTTCAAGATCATATCTCAACAACTGTGGGCTTGGTGGGATTGCAAACTTCGAAATTTACGTTTCGAGGTAGGGTCACTTGACCTGACCTGGTGACCTGACCATAGGTCACCTGGGGTCAAAATTTTTACTCAAGGTGTGCAAAAGTTGGGAGAACAGGTATGCAAAATTTGGCGGCGCTACGCGCCGCCGTTTTCTCGCGATTTGCGAAAAACCACAGGGGGGGGGGGTTGAAAACAACCCCCCCCCCTGCAGTGCGCGTGTTAAAATTGACGACGCATCTCTGCATTTTCTCAACGCTGGCAGGTGTCGCATTCATTTTACTTTACTGGGCAGTTAACTTGAAATGATAGAGTAATTACTTATATTGTAATTGTGACGTATTACAAAGGTCTGCAAGGCGGCCAATTTGCCCCACTAGCAGGGTTATTTGGCCGGGGTGTGGAGCAATCTGGCCGGTGTTAGTTTGCGGTCGGGATTTTCTGTTATATTGCGAGTCAGCTTCAGATTCAGCAATGACGTGTGTCCTACGACGCATTTGACGCAAATTAGCGGCTCAAGATAGCAAAATTAGCGGCTCTAGATGTGAAGACAGGTTTCTACGAATAACTTTTGAAGAAATCAAGCTAGGCCAAAACATCGAATACTATCGTAATTTTCTCGTCAGTCCGCATCGAAACATATATGTGTTGACCCCGAGAAGTCAAGGTCAAAGGTTGACCTCAGGTCACGTTACCTCAGGTCGACCTCAGGTCATGTTACCTCAGGTCGCTTGACCTCAAGGTCACGTGATTACAAGGTCATCATGCATATCATTATATGTGCCCTGGCGAGCTGAACACAATAAGACCATTTGTGCTGCTGTATCGTTTTTATGCAAGGATTTATTAGCAAAAAACGTTTGGTAACTTTTGATGACGTCACATGCATGCCCTTACAGTTGACCAATATAAAATAAGGCATCAAAGTAGTCAAAGTTGGTCATGAGTCATTTCATTTATGGTATAATTGATCATCAAAACTCGGCCGTCCCAGCATAGTGACCATGAGCGCACCGGCCAAGTTGCCTCGCTAGTCCCGGCCAAATTACCCCATATTGCCATTTAAAGATTTTTGTCTATGAAGTCATCACGGCTATACGGAACTAGATGAAATTGCTCTTGGAACCGCTGAACACCCCCAAGAATGGCACTATAATGTCGGGAGTTCGTTTTTAGCCCAAATACTACATGTTATATACCTAACTTTTTAAACAGAAGTAGGGGAGAGTGGGGTAATTTGGCCGGTGGTGTAAATTGGCCGCCCCCACCTGCACGGTCTCTAATAAAAGTGAGTGAAATAACTCTAGTCTCTATTCATTTGTCATGGGTAGAAATAACTGGAGGACAAATGCCAAAACTTTGCCCCTCGTAGTTTTATTCAAAATTAATAAAACGTTAATTTCATTACAAAATGGAAACTTTTGCTTCTATTTACAAAGTTGTATAACATTTGGGCTAAAAACGAATTAGACATTATAGTGCAATTCTTGGGGGTGTTCAGCGGTTCCAAGAGCAATTTCATCTAATTCCGTATAGCCGTGATGACTTTATAGACAGAAATTTCAGAATGGCAATATGGGGTAATTTGGCCGGGACTAGCGGGGCAACTTGGCCGGTGCGCTCATGGTCACTATGCTGGGACGGCCGAGTTTTCATGGTCAATTGTACCATAAATGACATGATTCATGACCAACTTTGACTACTTTGATGCCTTACTTCCGATTGGTCAATGTAAGAGCATGTGACGTCATCAAAGGTTACCAAACGTTTTTTGCTAATAAATCCTTACATAGAAATGGTACAGCCGCACAAATGGTCTCATTCTCTTCAGCTCGCCAATGCGCATCGAATAATATGCATGATGACCTTGAAATCACGTGACCTTGAGGTCAAGCGACCTGAGGTAACGTGACCTGAGGTCAACCTTCGACCTTGACTTCTCGAGGTCAACACATATATGTTTCGATGCGGACTGACGAGAGAATTACGATGGTACTCGAAGTTTTGACCTACCTTGATTACTTCAAAAGTTATTCGTATAAAACTGTCTTCGCATCTAGAGCCGCTAATTTGGCTATTTTGACCCCTGTGACCCCTGAGTCAACCTCCAAAATGCGGCAAATGCGTCATGGACACACGCCATTGCTGAATCTGAAGCTGACTCGCAATATAACAGAAAATCCCGACCGCAAACTAACATCGGCCAAATTGCCCCACACCCCCGGCCAAAGAACCCTGCTAGTGGGGCAATTTGGCCGCCTTGTAGACCTTTGTGATACGTCACAATTTCAATACAAGTGATTACTCTATCATTTCAAGTTCACTGTCCAGTAGGTAAAGTAAAATGAACTCGACACCTTCCAGCGTTGAGAATATGCAGAAATGTGTCGTCAATTTTAAGTTACATCGTTTTCTAAAAAAAGTGGCCAAATTACCCCAACCTCCCCTAAAATTTACCATTTTCTTATAAGATTAATGTTTTATTAATTTTGAATAAAACTACGAAGTACGAGGGGCAAAGTTTTGACATTTGTCCTCCAGTTAGTTCTACCCATGACAAAGTAATACAGACTAGAGTTATTTCACTCACTTTTATTAGACATCGTACAGGACGGGGCGGCCAATTTACACCACCGGCCAAATTACCCCAACCTCCCCTACTGTATGTATACCTACATTGTCCGTCGTGCGTCTGCAGGCTCGTGTGTGCCGCTCTCCAAGGGCGGCTCGAAGCGGTCGGGCGGCGCGGCGGCCTGCGAGCCGGCGGTGCGACTGAGTGCCGGCGGCCGGTTCCTGTGTCCGCTGTGCCGGCGCTCGCGGCGGCCGCGGCTCGAGACGGTGCTCAGCCTGCTGGTGGCGCTGCAGAAGCTGGTGGTGCGACTGCCCGAGGGCATAGCGCTCCAGTGTCTCACCGAGCGCGCCATGCGCTGGCAGGTGGGACTCGGCGCGGCGGCACCCTTCCTGGGGTGTGGCAGCTCTCTCTCTCTCTCTCTCTCTCTCTCTCTCTCTCTCTCTCTCTCTCTCTCTCTCTCTCTCTCTCTCTCTCTCTCTCTCTCTCTCTCTCTCTCTCCCCGCTGTTGTCACTGCGTGACGCTGTGTCACTGTGTGATGCTCTGACGCGGTGTTATACCCTGTGTCGCTGTGTGTCACTGTGTGATGCTCTGACGCGGTGTTATACCCTGTGTCGCTGTGTGTCACTGTGTGATGCTCTGACGCGGTGTTATACCCTGTGTCGCTGTGTGTCACTGTGATGCTCTGACGCGGTGTGAGGCCCTGTGACGCTGTGTGTCACTGTGTGATGCTCTGACGCGGTGTTATACCCTGTGTCGCTGTGTGTCACTGTGATGCTCTGACGCGATGTTATACCCTGTGTCGCTGTGTGTCACTGTGTGATGCTCTGACGCGGTGTGAGGCCCTGTGTCGCTGTGTGTCACTGCGTGATGCTCTGACGCGGTGTTATACCCTGTGTCGCTGTGTGTCACTGGTGTGATGCTCTGACGCGGTGTTATACCCTGTGACGCTGTGTGTCACTGTGTGATGCTCTGACGCGGTGTTATACCCTGTGACGCTGTGTGTCACTGTGTGATGCTCTGACGCGGTGTTATACCCTGTGTCGCTGTGTGTCACTGTGATGCTCTGACGCGGTGTTATACCCTGTGTCGCTGTGTGTCACTGTGTGATGCTCTGACGCGGTGTTATACCCTGTCTCGCTGTGTGTCATTGTGTGATGCTCTGACGCGGTGTGAGGCCCTGTGTCGCTGTGTGTCACTGTGATGCTCTGACGCGGTGTTATACCCTGTGTCGCTGTGTGTCACTGTGATGCTCTGACGCGGTGTTATACCCTGTGTCGCTGTGTGTCACTGTGTGATGCTCTGACGCGGTGTTATACCCTGTGTCGCTGTGTTACGCTCTGTGATGCTCTGACGCGGTGTTATACCCTGTGTCACTGTGTCACGCTCTGTGGTACTGTGATGCGGTGTTATACCCTGTGTCGCTGTGTGTCACTGTGTGATGCTCTGACGCGGTGTTATACCCTGTGACGCTGTGTGTCACTGTGTGATGCTCTGACGCGGTGTTATACCCTATGTCGCTGTGTGTCACTGTGATGCTCTGACGCGGTGTTATACCCTGTGTCGCTGTGTGTCACTGTGATGCTCTGACGCGGTGTTATACCCTATGTCGCTGTGTGTCACTGTGATGCTCTGACGCGGTGTTATACCCTGTGACGCTGTGTGTCACTGTGTGATGCTCTGACGCGGTGTTATACCCTGTGTCACTGTGTGTCACTGTGTGTCACTGTGATGCTCTGACGCGGTGTTATACCCTGTGTCGCTGTGTGTCACTGTGTGATGCTCTGACGCGGTGTTATACCCTGTGTCGCTGTGTGTCACTGTGTGATGCTCTGACGCGGTGTTATACCCTGTGTCGCTGTGTGTCACTGTGTGATGCTCTGACGCGGTGTTATACCCTGTGTCGCTGTGTGTCACTGTGATGCTCTGACGCGGTGTGAGGCCCTGTGACGCTGTGTGTCACTGTGTGATGCTCTGACGCGGTGTTATACCCTGTGTCGCTGTGTGTCACTGTGATGCTCTGACGCGATGTTATACCCTGTGTCGCTGTGTGTCACTGTGTGATGCTCTGACGCGGTGTGAGGCCCTGTGTCGCTGTGTGTCACTGCGTGATGCTCTGACGCGGTGTTATACCCTGTGTCGCTGTGTGTCACTGGTGTGATGCTCTGACGCGGTGTTATACCCTGTGACGCTGTGTGTCACTGTGTGATGCTCTGACGCGGTGTTATACCCTGTGACGCTGTGTGTCACTGTGTGATGCTCTGACGCGGTGTTATACCCTGTGTCGCTGTGTGTCACTGTGATGCTCTGACGCGGTGTTATACCCTGTGTCGCTGTGTGTCACTGTGTGATGCTCTGACGCGGTGTTATACCCTGTCTCGCTGTGTGTCATTGTGTGATGCTCTGACGCGGTGTGAGGCCCTGTGTCGCTGTGTGTCACTGTGATGCTCTGACGCGGTGTTATACCCTGTGTCACTGTGTGTCACTGTGATGCTCTGACGCGGTGTTATACCCTGTGTCGCTGTGTGTCACTGTGTGATGCTCTGACGCGGTGTTATACCCTGTGTCGCTGTGTTACGCTCTGTGATGCTCTGACGCGGTGTTATACCCTGTGTCACTGTGTCACGCTCTGTGGTACTGTGATGCGGTGTTATACCCTGTGTCGCTGTGTGTCACTGTGTGATGCTCTGACGCGGTGTTATACCCTGTGACGCTGTGTGTCACTGTGTGATGCTCTGACGCGGTGTTATACCCTATGTCGCTGTGTGTCACTGTGATGCTCTGACGCGGTGTTATACCCTGTGTCGCTGTGTGTCACTGTGATGCTCTGACGCGGTGTTATACCCTATGTCGCTGTGTGTCACTGTGATGCTCTGACGCGGTGTTATACCCTGTGACGCTGTGTGTCACTGTGTGATGCTCTGACGCGGTGTTATACCCTGTGTCACTGTGTGTCACTGTGTGTCACTGTGATGCTCTGACGCGGTGTTATACCCTGTGTCGCTGTGTGTCACTGTGTGATGCTCTGACGCGGTGTTATACCCTGTGTCGCTGTGTGTCACTGTGTGATGCTCTGACGCGGTGTTATACCCTGTGTCGCTGTGTGTCACTGTCATGCTCTGACGCGGTGTGAGGCCCTGTGACGCTGTGTGTCACTGTGTGATGCTCTGACGCGGTGTTATACCCTGTGTCGCTGTGTGTCACTGTGATGCTCTGACGCGGTGTTATACCCTGTGTCGCTGTGTGTCACTGTGTGATGCTCTGGCGCGGTGTTATACCCTGTGTCGCTGTGTGTCACTGTGTGATGCTCTGACGCGGTGTTATACCCTGTGACGCTGTGTGTCACTGTGTGATGCTCTGACGCGGTGTTATACCCTGTGTCGCTGTGTGTCACTGTGATGCTCTGACGCGGTGTTATACCCTGTGTCGCTGTGTGTCACTGTGTGATGCTCTGACGCGGTGTTATACCCTGTGTCGCTGTGTGTCACTGTGTGATGCTCTGACGCGGTGTTATACCCTGTGTCGCTGTGTGTCACTGTGTGATGCTCTGACGCGGTGTTATACCCTGTGTCGCTGTGTGTCACTGTGTGATGCTCTGACGCGGTGTTATACCCTGTGTCGCTGTGTGTCACTGTGTGATGCTCTGACGCGGTGTTATACCCTGTGACGCTGTGTGTCACTGTGTGATGCTCTGACGCGGTGTTATACCCTGTGTCACTGTGTCTCACTGTGTGGTGCTCTGACGCGGTGTTATACCCTGTGTCGCTGTGTTACGCTCTGTGATGTTCTGACGCGGTGTTATACCCTGTGTCGCTGTGTGTCACTGTGTGATGCTCTGACGCGGTGTTATACCCTGTGTCACTGTGTTACGCTCTGTGATGCTCTGAGGCGGTGTTATACCCTGTGGCACTGTGTCACGCCCTGTGGTACTGTGACGCGGTGTTATACCCTGTGTCGCTGTGTGTCACTGTGATGCTCTGACGCGGTGTGAGGCCCTGTGACGCTGTGTGTCACTGTGTGATGCTCTGACGCGGTGTTATACCCTGTGTCACTGTGTGTCACTGTGTGATGCTCTGACGCGGTGTTATACCCTGTGTCGCTGTGTGTCACTGTGTGATGCTCTGACGCGGTGTTATACCCTGTGTCGCTGTGTATCACTGTGTGATGCTCTGACGCGGTGTTATACCCTGTGTCGCTGTGTGTCACTGTGTGATGCTCTGACGCGGTGTTATACCCTGTGTCGCTGTGTGTCACTCTGTGGTACTGTGACGCGGTGTTATACCCTGTGTCGCTGTGTGTCACTGTGTGATGTTCTGACGCGGTGTGATGCCCTGTGTCGCTGTGTGTCACTGTGTGATGCTCTGACGCGGTGTTATACCCTGTGTCGCTGTGTGTCACTATGTGATACTCTGACGCGGTGTGAGGCCCTGTGTCACTGTGTTACGCTCTGTGGTACTGTGACGCGGTGTTATACCCTGTGTCGCTGTGTATCACTGTGTGATGCTCTGACGCGGTGTGAGGCCCTGTGACGCTGTGTGTCACTGTGTGATGCTCTGACGCGGTGTTATACCCTGTGTCGCTGTGTGTCACTGTGTGATGCTCTGACGCGGTGTTATACCCTGTGTCGCTGTGTGTCACTGTGTGATGCTCTGACGCAGTGTTATACCCTGTGTCGCTGTGTGTCACTGTGATGCTCTGACGCGGTGTTATACCCTGTGTCGCTGTGTGTCACTGTGATGCTCTGACGCGGTGTTATACCCTGTGTCGCTGTGTGTCACTGTGATGCTCTGACGCGGTGTTATACCCTGTGTCGCTGTGTGTCACTGTGTGATGCTCTGACGCGGTGTTATACCCTGTGTCGCTGTGTGTCACTGTGTGATGCTCTGACGCGGTGTTATACCCTGTGTCGCTGTGTGTCACTGTGTGATGCTCTGACGCGGTGTTATACCCTGTCTCGCTGTGTGTCATTGTGTGATGCTCTGACGCGGTGTGAGGCCCTGTGTCGCTGTGTGTCACTGTGATGCTCTGACGCGGTGTTATACCCTGTGTCGCTGTGTGTCACTGTGATGCTCTGACGCGGTGTTATACCCTGTGTCGCTGTGTGTCACTGTGTGATGCTCTGACGCGGTGTTATACCCTGTGTCGCTGTGTTACGCTCTGTGATGCTCTGACGCGGTGTTATACCCTGTGTCACTGTGTCACGCTCTGTGGTACTGTGATGCGGTGTTATACCCTGTGTCGCTGTGTGTTACTGTGATGCTCTGACGCGGTGTTATACCCTGTGTCGCTGTGTGTCACTGTGTGATGCTCTGACGCGGTGTTATACCCTGTGTCACTGTGTGATGCTCTGACGCGGTGTTATACCCTGTGTCGCTGTGTGTCACTGTGTGATGCTCTGACGCGGTGTTATACCCTGTGACGCTGTGTGTCACTGTGTGATGCTCTGACGCGGTGTTATACCCTGTGTCACTGTGTGTCACTGTGTGTCACTGTGTGATGCTCTGACGCGGTGTTATACCCTGTGTCGCTGTGTTACGCTCTGTGATGCTCTGACGCGGTGTTATACCCTCTGTCGCTGTGTGTCACTGTGTGATGCTCTGACGCGGTGTTATACCCTGTGACGCTGTGTGTCACTGTGTGATGCTCTGACGCGGTGTTATACCCTGTGTCACTGTGTGTCGCTGTGTGTCACTGTGTGATGCTCTGACACGGTGTTATACCCTGTGTCGCTGTGTGTCACTGTGTGATGCTCTGACGCGGTGTTATACCCTGTGTCGCTGTGTGTCACTGTGTGATGCTCTGACGCGGTGTTATACCCTGTGTCGCTGTGTGTCACTGTGTGATGCTCCGACGCGGTGTTATACCCTGTGACGCTGTGTGTCACTGTGTGATGCTCTGACGCGGTGTTATACCCTGTGTCACTGTGTCTCACTGTGTGGTGCTCTGACGCGGTGTTATACCCTGTGTCGCTGTGTTACGCTCTGTGATGTTCTGACGCGGTGTTATACCCTGTGTCGCTGTGTGTCACTGTGTGATGCTCTGACGCGGTGTTATACCCTGTGTCACTGTGTTACGCTCTGTGATGCTCTGAGGCGGTGTTATACCCTGTGGCACTGTGTAACGCCCTGTGGTACTGTGACGCGGTGTTATACCCTGTGTCGCTGTGTGTCACTGTGATGCTCTGACGCGGTGTGAGGCCCTGTGACGCTGTGTGTCACTGTGTGATGCTCTGACGCGGTGTTATACCCTGTGTCACTGTGTGTCACTGTGTGATGCTCTGACGCGGTGTTATACCCTGTGTCGCTGTGTGTCACTGTGTGATGCTCTGACGCGGTGTTATACCCTGTGTCGCTGTGTGTCACTGTGATGCTTTGACGCGGTGTGAGGCCCTGTGTCACTGTGTTACGCTCTGTGGTACTGTGACGCGGTGTTATACCCTGTGTCACCGTGTGACGCTCTGACGCGGTGTTATACCTTGTGTCACTGTGTCACGCTCTGTGGTACTGTGACGCGGTGTTATACCCTGTGTCGCTGTGTGTCACTGTGTGATGTTCTGACGCGGTGTGATGCCCTGTGTCGCTGTGTGTCACTGTGTGATGCTCTGACGCGGTGTTATACCCTGTGTCGCTGTGTGTCACTCTGTGGTACTGTGACGCGGTGTTATACCCTGTGTCGCTGTGTGTCACTGTGTGATGTTCTGACGCGGTGTGATGCCCTGTGTCGCTGTGTGTCACTGTGTGATGCTCTGACGCGGTGTTATACCCTGTGTCGCTGTGTGTCACTATGTGATACTCTGACGCGGTGTGAGGCCCTGTGTCACTGTGTTACGCTCTGTGGTACTGTGACGCGGTGTTATACCCTGTGTCGCTGTGTGTCACTGTGTGATGCTCTGACGCGGTGTGAGGCCCTGTGACGCTGTGTGTCACTGTGTGATGCTCTGACGCGGTGTTATACCCTGTGTCGCTGTGTGTCACTGTGTGATGCTCTGACGCGGTGTGAGGCCCTGTGTCGCTGTGTGTCACTGTGTGATGCTCTGACGCGGTGTTATACCCTGTGTCGCTGTGTGTCACTGGTGTGATGCTCTGACGCGGTGTTATACCCTGTGACGCTGTGTGTCACTGTGTGATGCTCTGACGCGGTGTTATACCCTGTGTCGCTGTGTGTCACTGTGTGATGCTCTGACGCGGTGTTATACCCTGTGTCGCTGTGTGTCACTGTGATGCTCTGACGCGGTGTTATACCTTGTGTCGCTGTGTGTCACTGTGTGATGCTCTGACGCGGTGTTATACCCTGTGTCGCTGTGTGTCACTGTGTGATGCTCTGACGCGGTGTTATACCCTGTGTCGCTCTGTGTCACTGTGTGATACTCTGACGCGGTGTTATACCCTGTGTCGCTCTGTGTCACTGTGTGATGCTCTGACGCGGTGTTATACCCTGTGTCGCTGTGTGGATCACTGTGTGATGCTCTGACGCGGTGTTATACCCTGTGTCACTGTGTGTCACTGTGTGATGCTCTGACGCGGTGTTATACCCTGTGACGCTGTGTGTCACTGTGTGATGCTCTGACGCGGTGTTATACCCTGTGTCGCTGTGTGTCACTGTGTGATGCTCTGACGCGGTGTTATACCCTGTGTCGCTGTGTGTCACTGTGATGCTCTGACGCGGTGTTATACCCTGTGTCGCTGTGTGTCACTGTGTGATGCTCTGACGCGGTGTTATACCCTGTGTCGCTGTGTGTCACTGTGTGATGCTCTGACGCGGTGTTATACCCTGTGTCGCTGTGTGTCACTGTGTGATGCTCTGACGCGGTGTTATACCCTGTGTCGCTGTGTGTCACTGTGTGATGCTCTGACGTGGTGTTATACCCTGTGTCGCTGTGTGTCACTGTGTGATGCTCTGACGCGGTGTTATACCCTGTGTCGCTGTGTGTCACTGTGTGATGCTCTGACGCGGTGTTATACCCTGTGACGCTGTGTGTCACTGTGTGATGCTCTGACGCGGTGTGAGGCCCTGTGTCACTGTGTTACGCTCTGTGGTACTGTGACGCGGTGTTATACCCTGTGTCACCGTGTGACGCTCTGACGCGGTGTTATACCTTGTGTCACTGTGTCACGCTCTGTGGTACTGTGACGCGGTGTTATACCCTGTGTCGCTGTGTGTCACTGTGTGATGCTCTGACGCGGTGTGATGCCCTGTGTCGCTGTGTGTCACTGTGTGATGCTCTTACGCGGTGTTATACCCTGTGTTGCTGTGTGTCACTCTGTGGTACTGTGACGCGTTGTGAGGCCCTGTGTCGCTGTGTGTCACTGTGTGATGCTCTGACGCGGTGTTATACCCTGTGTCGCTGTGTGTCACTGTGTGATGCTCTGACGCGGTGTTATACCCTGTGTCGCTGTGTGTCACTGTGTGATGCTCTGACGCGGTGTTATACCCTGTGTCGCTGTGTGTCACTGTGATGCTCTGACGCGGTGTGAGGCCCTGTGTCACTGTGTTACGCTCTGTGGTACTGTGACGCGGTGTTATACCCTGTGTCACCGTGTGACGCTCTGACGCGGTGTTATACCTTGTGTCACTGTGTCACGCTCTGTGGTACTGTGACGCGGTGTTATACCCTGTGTCGCTGTGTGTCACTGTGTGATGTTCTGACGCGGTGTGATGCCCTGTGTCGCTGTGTGTCACTGTGTGATGCTCTGACGCGGTGTTATACCCTGTGTCGCTGTGTGTCACTCTGTGGTACTGTGACGCGGTGTGAGGCCCTGTGTCGCTGTGTGTCACTGTGTGATGCTCTGACGCGGTGTTATACCCTGTGTCGCTGTGTGTCACTCTGTGGTACTGTGACGCGGTGTGAGGCCCTGTGTCGCTGTGTGTCACTGTGTGATGCTCTGACGCGGTGTTATACCCTGTGTCGCTGTGTGTCACTATGTGATGCTCTGACGCAGTGTTATACCCTGTGACGCTGTGTGTCACTGTGTGATGCTCTGGCGCGGTGTTATACCCTGTGTCGCTGTGTGTCACTGTGTGATGCTCTGACGCGGTGTTATACCCTGTCTCGCTGTGTGTCACTGTGTGATGCTCTGACGCGGTGTTATACCCTGTGTCGCTGTGTGTCACTGTGTGATGCTCTGACGCGGTGTTATACCCTGTCTCGCTGTGTGTCACTGTGTGATGCTCTGACGCAGTGTTATACCCTGTGTCGCTGTGTGTCACTCTGTGGTACTGTGACGCGGTGTGAGGCCCTGTGTCGCTGTGTGTCACTGTGTGATGCTCTGACGCGGTGTTATACCCTGTGTCGCTGTGTGTCACTCTGTGGTACTGTGACGCGGTGTGAGGCCCTGTGTCGCTGTGTGTCACTGTGTGATGCTCTGACGCGGTGTTATACCCTGTGTCGCTGTGTGTCACTATGTGATGCTCTGACGCAGTGTTATACCCTGTGTCGCTGTGTGTCACTGTGTGATGTTCTGACGCGGTGTGAGGCCCTGTGACGCTGTGTGTCACTGTGTGATGCTCTGACGCGGTGTTATACCCTGTGTCGCTGTGTGTCACTATGTGATGCTCTGACGCGGTGTTATACCCTGTGTCGCTGTGTGTCACTGTGATGCTCTGACGCGGTGTTATACCCTGTGTCGCTGTGTGTCACTGTGTGATGCTCTGGCGCGGTGTTATACCCTGTGTCGCTGTGTGTCACTGTGATGCTCTGACGCGGTGTGAGGCCCTGTGTCACTGTGTTACGCTCTGTGGTACTGTGACGCGGTGTTATACCCTGTGTCACCGTGTGACGCCGTCGGCAGGACCGGGCTCGTCAGCTGCTGACCACTGACGAGGTAGCGGCCGCCCTGGCCAGCCCGGCGGCCCCAGCGGGCACCTCCAGCCAGGTGCGTACGTGCTCCTGCTGGCCGCCACTACTATCTTCTGCTGATATCTTCTGCGCTGTGGTGCCCTCTAACCGGGTTATGGTCGTCTTTGTGCCGATCATCTTTATCATTGTACACGTGTTTTGTTTTGTTTTTGCCTTATTTTCCCGTCTCTGGCTTGTAAAAGGTTGTGTTTGTTGGTGACGGTGCGCGCGTCTGTATGTGTGTGTGTTGGCAGGCGGGCGACTCAGCGGTGGCACCGGCGGCCGACGGCGGTCCGACGCCTACGGCCGACACCGGCCGCCAGACCGGCCGGCCGCCCATCAAACTCGAGTCGGAGGCCGAGCTGCCGCCCAGCGCGCCGGTCTTCTCCAGCTCGGAGCACGCCTACTCCTCAGGTGGCTGTCAGGGCGGCACCGCGCAGCCGGTCCGCTCCCACACAGTCGGTCCCACCCGGCACCGCGCAGCCGGCCCGCTCCCATACAGTCGGTCCCACCCGGCCCGCTCCCATACAGTCGGTCCCACCCGGCACCGCGCAGCCGGCCCGCTCCCACACAGTCGGTCCCCCCACCCGGCCCGCTCCCACACAGTCGGTCCCACCCGGCCCGCTCCCATACAGTCGGTCCCACCCGGCACCGCGCAGCCGGCCCGCTCCCATACAGTCGGTCCCACCCGGCCCGCTCCCATACAGTCGGTCCCACCCGGCACCGCGCAGCCGGCCCGCTCCCATACAGTCGGTCCCACCCGGCACCGCGCAGCCGGCCCGCTCCCACACAGTCGGTCCCACCCGGCACCGCGCAGCCCGGCCCGCTCCCATACAGTCGGTCCCACCCGGCACCGCGCAGCCGGCCCGCTCCCATACAGTCGGTCCCACCCGGCCCGCTCCCATACAGTCGGTCCCACCCGGCCCGCTCCCACACAGTCGGTCCCACCCGGCCCGCTCCCATACAGTCGGTCCCACCCGGCACCGCGCAGCCGGCCCGCTCCCATACAGTCGGTCCCACCCGGCCCGCGCAGCCGGCCCGCTCCCATACAGTCGTCTCGATTAACGTCTCTATTCACTGCCGATTAATGACCCAGTTTTTCTTTGTTTGCTAAAAGTACCTACGCACGGGATGGGCCAACTAAGGTCAATTGAGGTCTAACAACGTTGTTGCGAACAACTTCTTGGCGTAGCCGTGCGGACATAAAGGTTGTGCCTCAGAAATGGTGCAATTGTGTTCTTCTTTATCAGCGGAGGTAACTGATATGCAACGTGGATCACTAAATTGAACATCCGAACTTTAATTGGAACGAAACTTAATCCGCGCTTTGCTGGGGGGGGGGGCGTTTTTACGTCCCCTTCAGGTTTTTCGCGAATATTTCAAAAACGGCGGCGAGCAGCGCCGCCGTTTTTGGCATGTCGATAATTTTCGTAAGAATTTTCTTACGCATGGCCTACTTCTTAACCCGCGCGGGGCTGGGGTCTCCAGCCGAACGCCCGGGGCTGGGGGGAGGTAAATTACCCCCCCCCCCCCCCTGTTATCTGCCGAACTAATGGTCCGATTTGGAAAATTCAAACGCCAATCGAAAGATCTCATCACGAACAACTAAAAACATGTACTTAATTTAAAGTTTGAGGTCAAGGTCAAGGTCAGGTCAAGGGTACAAATTGCAAGTTTCTACAGCATCAGTATCGGCCTTGCACCGTAGTTGCCGAAGAATGGACTGAGACTGATTGCCCAAAACGTGTTTTTAGGCTACCAAGACAATATTCGTTGCATACAATATCATTCAGAGGTCAAGATCAAGGTCAGGTCAGGTCAGGTCAGGTCACCAAAAACAAAATATAGAAAAGGGCATGTGCGACACATGTTTTATGGGTCATTTTATTCATAAAATTCAATAGGCACACTCAATAGGTGATATGGACCACATCTGGATGAATTTCAGGTCGAGGTCAGGTCAATGTCAGGTCTAGTGAGGTCAAATTTTGAAGTTGGTTGTTAAGACCTAAAAATGTGTCTATCTGATGCAGTTTTTCACGGCGAATCGAATGGTACTATTTTTGTTTCCGCACGAGGTCTAGATTTTCCAAAAAATTGTTTGTCGTAACGTCATAAAATTTTGAATAACTCCCACATTTTTGAACCGATTTCTCTAAAAATTGGTTTGTAGGTGCACATGGACCACTTCTCTGACATACCTATACCTATTCCGACTTTTTCGATACACGCAAAATTTTGGATTTTATAATTATTTTCCCAAAAAGTCAGTTTTTTTTTTAATGGACCAAAATCAAAAAATTTCAAAAAACCGAGATAGCAATTTGATAGACAAAGTAGAATCACGTACCTAAGCTTTTTGTTACGTCTTGATTCCATTAAAAATGAAGATGTTAGTGGCTTTTGAAATTTTGCCGTTTTTGAGGCGAAAATGGGGAACATGACGTCACTTAAACGTCATTTTCTCAAAAATTTCCGAAGGATTTCGCTCAAATTTTCAGGGAACGTGTCAAATTGATGTAAGAAAAGGTACTGAGAGTTTGGCGGCGCGCACGTTTTTGAGATATTGCAAAAATTCGCCAGGGGGGGTAAATTTACCCCCCAGCCCCGCGCGGGTTAAGCAATTTTTTTTTAAAACGTGAACTTTGTCGATTAAAACTTAAGAAGTGTCGACGTGAATGCCAAATTATACTTACGAAAGAAAATAAGTCGACGTGAATACGGCCCCTGTTCATGCATCCTTTCCGCACATGTGATAACAATTTCAAACCGGGGTTGTTCAAGGTCAGGTCAACAGGACACCGCAAGTGACCTTACCTAAAAAAGTTCAAAGTCTCGCTATAGCTACACCGACAGAACGATCACTTTGAAACTTTCAGCGATTGATAAAAGTAACAGTATGTATTAAGTTTATATCTCGGATTTTGATATCTGTGACCTAAGGTCAGGTCAATTTTACGACCTCTCCATTATGAGTCAATGCTAGAAAATTGAAATGCGCCTCTTTTGGACGAATGTCGTTCCAAACACTCTCAAGCATGAGTTCATAGGTCGCATGACACACTAAATCGGAAAGAATGCACCTGTGACCCATCTGTGTGCCCCTGAGATCATCTCAGGTCATGAAAGGTCACAAGCAGTTTTTTACAACTTTTGATGGAGACGTGCTAGAGCGGGGAAAATACGTCAGATGTGTTCAGCTCGACGATACGGATCTACTGATATGCAAATGACCCTTTCCGATCAAGTCATGACCTTGACCTGGTGTCAAATTTTCAAATTGATCTTTAAAGGTTAAAATATAGTTCATTTGACGCGTCTCGACAAGAGGAGCACGATACTGTGAAAATTAATGTCGAGACTCTGTTGAGTCAAGAGTTATTGCAGAAAAAAAATCGTAAAAACGTCTTTTTTGGAGTTTTGCCCTCTGGAGGCTAAACCGTGGACGTGAGATCAAATCTGAACAACGTGCAGAAAGGTCTGTAAAAGGACTATCGAATGCGCTTTTCCGCGGCGCTGTAGGTCTATTGGTTCCCGAGTAAGCCGTTGGCAGTTTTCAAAATTATTGAAATGGACTAAATGTGACCTTTGATGACCTCTGGCGACCTGATCTTTGACCATCACCTAAAAAGTGACGGAAGTGTCTCCACCATTATTTTTGACGCTCTTTCGATTGCTGCTTACCGCGAGCTGAGTTAGACGGGGGTAGGGGCGTTAAACGCCCCCCCCCCCCCCCCCCCCAACACGACACGGAAAACACAGGCCACCAGCAGGGCGCGGGTTAAGTGAACTTGAAGTCAAATTGATGTGTTTACCTACATAACCTGGCAGCGAAGTATATCATGCGATGTGCATTGACCTTAGGCATCGAAGTCGCTCACGTAGTCACTCATTGTTTTAACCCTATTACTGGTGGGGGGGGGGCGAATCGGCCCCACCTGTAGTTTTTTTTTTTTTTTGCTCACGACGGAATACCACTTAAAGGGACAGTATCATCGAAAAAAAATTAATGTATGGAGCTGATTTTTTTTTACTAGCATTTCTTATTTTCCTGAATCAGGAAAACATAGTTTGAGGACCGAACTCGGTGAAAAATATTGCAACCACATTTCATTTTCATGATTCATTTTCATGAGCGAACCACCACTATACAAGCATGGCCGCCATTTTGGAAGCATGCAAAATTACTACAGAACTGGCGCAGATAATACATTATTGACGCTACGCTTACGCGGTCGTTCTTCTGATTGAGTTGTCCTTAGGGAGAGGTAGCCTTAGGTATTGCCTATAAAAATATCACGTGACAATTGGAGGGAGTGACAATTGGACGTGACAATTGACAATGGGAGAAAATATCACGTGACAATCACGTGATAAACGTCATACATTGGAGGGAGAATGGAGATTGTGATTCAAGCTGGAGGAATTCCTTTGTTGAGCCGCTAGAATCCGAAGGAAACAACGGAAATTGCCTACGACTATTTAATGAATTTAACGGTGATGAATAAGTGCGAAAAACGTTTTGGCTTTATAAAATTTGACGAAATGACCAGGGTAAAAGTTTTATTACTGGCGGTCAATTCAAAACGGCGCAAACATTTAAACAGTGAAGATAGTGAAGCAGGATTCAAAGTGTAGTACACCTTTCGTACTTTGAGCGGCGATAGCGGGATAACGGTGTGGAGCTTCGAGGATCGGTCTTCAGTTCCCGGACCAGAAAGGTGGGGCCTATGCAATGTCAAATTTCATCAAAATGGTGATACTGTCCCTTTAAGCCAGGGGCTCAAAATTTGGTGACGATTCCTTACTATTCATTGGACACGTTGTGTCAAATTTTAAAGTTTCTAGTTTGCGCAGAGGCGTCTCCAGGACAAGTTTCTCGGGGGTAGTTTTGGTCCAGCTTTGACTAACTATTGCGACATTTGCCGCTTATGCACCTTAAGACTATGTAACGTCATTTTACAATGAAAATATTGAAATAGGCGGATCCAGGTACCTGTGAAAGGGGGTAATATCAATGTACTACCCCTGTCTTTGCGTGCCTGAATCCGCCTTTGCTTAACGAAAACGTGTACTTTGTGCATACCTACGTTGCATATTTTACAAGATATATGACAAATCATATCGTTATCATAATCATATCATATCATATCATATCATATATATCATAATCATATCATATCACTCTCTCTCTCTCTCTCTCTCTCTCTCTCTCTCTCTCTCTCTCTCTCTCTCTCTCTCTCTCTCTCTCGCTCTCGCTCTCGCTCTCGCTCTCGCTCTCGCTCTCGCTCTCGCTCTCGCTCTCGCTCTCGCTCTCTCTCTCGCTCTCTCGCTCTCTCTGTCTTTCTCTCTCTCTCTCTCTCTCTCTCTCTCTCTCTCTCTCTCTCTCTCTCTCTCTCTCTCTCTCTCTCTCTCTCTCTCTCTCTCTCTCTCTCTCTCTCTCTCTCTCTCCCTCTCCCTCTCGGCCCGCAGCGTTCAAGCAGACGCCGCCGACTCCGGCGCGCAAGCCACGCAAGGCGGTGCTCTCTCCGCGGCGCACCGATTCGCCTCCGCCGCCTCCTCCCCCTCCACCGGCGCCGGCGGCAGCCCGGTCGTCGGCCGGTCGGCTGGGCGCCCAGTCGCTGTCGCAGCTGGAGGCGCTGCTGCTGGAGGGCGACCTGCTCGAGGTGACGCTGGACGAGACCGAGCAGCTGTGGAGACTGCTCTCCGCCGGCCGGCCGCCCACCGGGCAGCCCAGCTTCCCAGACATCGACATCGTCAAGGTGAGCGCGGAGCGGAGGCGCCACCACCCGTACCCGGCCGGCCCAGCCGGCACCCCGTGTCCTAACGCTGCAGCAGCAGACCGGGCCTCACAGGCAGATTGTAAAAATAATCTTGCGTATGGCGTAGCTACCGCAAACAGTGCTACGTATGGCGCAGCTTCTCCAAACAGTACTGCGTATGGCGTAGCTTTTCCCACCCTCAGGTCTGACTAACTACCGAGAAGAAGCGCTGGCGCCGGTAGCCACTAGCTGTCGGCTGTGGCGCCTCATGTCTGTGCCGTCGGAGGGGCTTCACCTGCCCTGTCTGTCGCCGGCAGGTGGAAACCGGTGCGCCGCGTCAGCAGGCGACCGGCCCGCGCAGGAAGCGCGGTGCCGCATCGTCGCGCGCCGGCCACCCGACCAAGCGGCTCAAGGTGAAGGTGAAGGGCTCGGGCGCCGAGGAGCCGGCTGAGGAGGGCGCCGAGCCGGCCAGTCCCGCCCGGCGCGTCCCCAAACAGGGCGCCGCCATCAAACGCAGACTCGCCGCCAAAAAGCGAATGGTACGTGGTAGTCAGTGCGAGAACACGGCTGGCCGGTGGCCAGTGCTGGCGGGCCGCAGCGGGGGGCCGCATATCTGCCGCCGCCGCGCTCCGTGGCGCACCCACCTGAGCTGTTTATTTGTCTGAGCATCGTATGCTCGCTCTGGTGACCACCGTTTCCACTGCAGCGGGCAGGGCTTCTGGACGTGCGCCCATGCCAACTGGGTTCCATCTGACTTTTGTGGGACACCCTGCTCGCCGGTCCCTAAAACTATGCCTAGTTTTAGCGCCATCGGTCCAGCCATTCTCGGGATGTGGAAGCGACCCCTGCACGTCTTTCAGTTGGAACCCAACCCATACTTGGCCGAAGCATTGCACCAAATTTGGGCGCAATCGACCCAGCCGTTCTTGAGATATAAAACCGGCCCGCTGCACGGGTGCACGTGCAAACTGAGACTCTAGATGATTTGTGCCAGACCCCTTTCTAAATTGTCCCTAACTGTGTAGATATAAAATTTGAGCAAACTAGGCCCAGCCGTTTCTGAGATGTTGGATCATTCCCTCGCACGTGCACACGTGCAACAGCACCCCACACGTGGCAATCCATCGTCCGGTGATATTCTACCGACAGTCCAAGTTTCAGCTAAATCGACACAAAAACGGCTGATTTATTGCAACCATAAATTTATTTGATTTATTGGTGAATCCCTTGGCGAGCGGTGCCATGCGTCGGCGTTCGTTGTGAAAGTTCAACGACCTGCCGACTCCGAGCATTTTCGCTCGGTTTTATGAATTAACAACTGAGCCATAGATAACATCGAACCATACCTTACGGAGTGAACCCGCGCAAACCCCCGAGGTTAACCCGCGCATGACTGGGGTATTTTCCATAACGCTATTGACTGGGGGGGGGGGGGGGCTTTCCAGAGCCTCCTCCTATCTCCGAAACTGGACCGATCGTCAAAATTCTAACGGTGTCTGATAGCCCTGGAAAAACTGTCGTGCGAAACCTATTTTCATTGACCTCGAGGTCACCGATGACGTCACAGGTCAGGTCAAAGTAAAAAAATTCGGCATTTTTGCTTGCTCACAATTTAGGCTCTGACCGCAGGCTGCCAAGTCCGATCAGGCTCATTTCTGGTTTGCGCACTCCTTGGTATATGCCTTAGATACCCTGAGGGTACCGAATTTTTACTTCGATTTTTTTCAGGTCAAGGCCAGGTCATCCTAGGTCACGAAAATGGTATATCATGTATCGGTCACGTGACGCATGTTTTATGGTCCAATTTACTCGTAGATTTCGAAAATATTGTCGTCTGTGTCATTTGAGGTCATTTTCAGCTGAATTTACCGGAGGTCAGGTCACTTAAAGGTCTGAGGTCAAATTTTGAAAATGATTTTTTTTCCAGAAAAAAAGGTTGCAGCTGCAGTGTGAGCTTAGGAATACGATGGTGCCATTTATATTGCTGTACGATGTCAAAAACGTCCTAGAAATGGGTTAAAAAAATACATAATTGTAAAATTTTGACAATAATGCAAATAATTTGGCTATTTTTGAAGATGTTCGGCTAAAACTTGCTAGAAAAGTTAATCACTTTGTTCTTTAAGTTTCTCAATGCTTGTGCGAAGATCATATTAAAGCATTTTGATTCATGACCTTACCCTCGTAGTTTCAAAAAGTTAGATCAAAACACTTGTTTATTAATAATTTCGAGCACAGCTCTTCATCAGAATACAAAGCCAAAATGTCACGATAAAAATCCAGATTTTGGATGGATGGATTTTGGATGGATTTTTATCGTGACATTTTTGGCTTTGTATTCTGATGAAGAGCTGTGCTCGAAATTATTAATAAACAAGTGTTTTGATCTAACTTTTTCAAACTACGAGGGTAAGGTCATTAATCAAAATGCTTTAATCACTTTGTGTTCTATCACATATATTACGGTTTTTGCGAAAAACAAAAAAAAATCAAAAAAATATTTTATGTTTATGTGTAATGTCCAATGTCCAAGAATTATCAATTTAACGGTGTGCCGTGTAGGTAGGTATGTGTTAAAATTTATATAATGTACTTTCCACGGGGTCAAACTTTATGTCATTCTTTATTGATCACCCTGTAGTTCTGGGTGTACTGCGCCGACCGTCGCGGTAACACCCCCCCCCCCCCGCCCCCGCTGTGCGTCGCCAGATGTTTGAGAAGGGAGCACGCAAAACGGCCAAGGCTCGCAGCCATTCGCCGGCCAGTGAGGGCGCCGGTGCCATTCGCAACTACGTAGAGGACTGCGCCGCTAAACCCTGCCAGAAGCCGCACGGTGAGCTCCGCCCTGAGATGGAGGGGAGACTACCCCGCCGACAAAGGGAGACTACACCCGCCGACAGAGGGGATATTACACCCACCGATAGGGAGATAGTACACCCGCCGACAGAGGGAGACTACCCCGCCGACAGAGGGAGACTACCCCGCCGACAGGGAGGAGACTACCCCGCCGACAGAGAGAGACTACCCCACCGACAGAGGGGAGACTACCCCGCCGACAGAGGGAGACTACCCGCCGGCAGGGGGAGACTACCCCGCCGACAGAGGGAGACTACCCCGCCGACAGAGGGAGACTACCCCGCTGACAGAGGGAGACCACCCCGCCGACAGAGGGAGGCTACCCCGCCGACAGGGAGGAGACTACCCCGCCGACAGAGGGAGACTACCCCGCCGAAAGAAGGAGACTATCCCGCCGACAGAAGGAGACTACCCCGCCGACAGAGGGGAGACTAGCCCGCCGACAGAGGGAGACTAGCCCGCCGACAGAGGGGAGACTAGCCCGCCGACAGAGGGGAGACTACTCCGCCGACAGAGGGGAGACTACTCCGCCGACAGGGAGATACGAGTAGTACACCCGCCGACAGAGGGAGACTATCCCGCCGACAGAGGGAGATTACCCCGCCGACAGAGGGAGACTACCCCGCCGACAGAGGGGAGACTACCCCGCCGACAGAGGGAGACTACCCCGCCGACAGAGGGGAGACTAGCCCGCCGACAGAGGGGAGACTACTCCGCCGACAGAGGGGAGACTACTCCGCCGACAGGGAGATACGAGTAGTACACCCGCCGACAGAGGGAGACTATCCCGCCGACAGAGGGAGATTACCCCGCCGACAGAGGGAGACTACCCCGCCGACAGAGGGGAGACTACCCCGCCGACAGAGGGAGACTACCCCGCCGACAGAGGGAGACTAGCCCGCCGACAGAGGGGAGACTAGCCCGCCGACAGAGGGGAGACTACTCCGCCGACAGGGAGATACGAGTAGTACACCCGCCGACAGAGGGAGACTATCCCGCCGACAGAGGGAGACTACCCCGCCGACAGAGGGAGACTATCCCGCCGACAGAGGGGAGACTATCCCGCCGACCGAGGGGATATTACACCCGCCGACAGGGAGATAGTACACCCGCCGACAGGGGGAGATTACCCCGCCGACAGAAGGGAGACTACACCCGCCTACGCCTTACAGGGAGCATGGCGTTGTGTTCAGCTGCAGGTTGTATAATTATAGGCATTATGTAACCCAATTTGGTGGGTGCTCTCTCCCGCGTGCAGTATGTTGTCTACAGTCTTTCCCGCGCAGTGTGTTGTCTGCCAGTCTCTGCCGTGTCCAGTGTGTTGTCTGCCAGTCTCTGCGATGTGCATTGTGTTGTCTGCAGTCTCTGCCTTGTGCAGTGTGTTGTCTGCACTGTGCAGTGTGTCGTCTGCAGTCTCTGAGATGTGCATTGTGTTGTCTGCAGTCTCTGCCTTGTGCAGTGTGCTGTCTGCCAGGCTCTGCTGTGTGCAGTGTGTTGTCTGCACTGTGCAATGTGTTGTCTGCACTGTGCAATGTGTTGTCTGCACTGTGCAGTGTGTTGTCTGCAGTCTCTGCCGTGTGCAGTTTGTTGTTTGCAGTCTCTGCAATGTGCAGTGTGTTGTCTGCCAGGCTCTGCTGTGTGCAATGTGTTGTCTGCACTGTGCAGTGTGTTGTCTGCAGTCTCTGCCGTGTGCAATGTGTTGTCTGCAGTCTCTGCATTGTGCAGTGTGTTGTCTGCAGTCTCTGAGATGTGCAGTGTATTGTCTGCAGTCTCTGCACTGTGCAGTGTGTTGTCTGCAGTCTCTGCGATGTGCAGTGTGTTGTCTGCAGTCTCTGCCGTGTGCAGTGTGCTGTCTGCAGTCTCTGCGATGTGCAGTGTGCTGTCTGCAGTCTCTGCCGTGTGCAGTGTGCTGTCTGCAGTCTCTGCGATGTGCAGTGTGTTGTCTGCAGTCTCTGCGATGTGCAGTGTGTTGTCTGCAGTCTCTGCGATGTGCAGTGTGTTGTCTGCAGTCTCTGCGATGTGCAGTGTGTTGTCTGCAGTCTCTGCGATGTGCAGTGTGTTGTCTGCAGTCTCTGCGATGTGCAGTGTGCTGTCTGCAGCCTCTGCGATGTGCAGTGTGTTGTCTGCAGTCTCTGCACTGTGCAGTGTGTTGTCTGCAGCCTCTGCGATGTGCAGTGTGTTGTCTGCAGTCTCTGCACTGTGCAGTGTGTTGTCTGCAGCCTCTGCGATGTGCAGTGTGTTGTCTGCAGTCTCTCTCTGCGATGTGCAGTGTGTTGTCTGCAGTCTCTCTCTGCGATGTGCAGTGTGTTGTCTGCAGTCTCTGCGATGTGCAGTGTGTTGTCTGCAGTCTCTGCGATGTGCAGTGTGTTGTCTGCAGTCTCTGCGATGTGCAGTGTGTTGTCTGCAGTCTCTGCGATGTGCAGTGTGTTGTCTGCAGTCTCTGCGATGTGCAGTGTGTTGTCTGCAGTCTCTGCGATGTGCAGTGTGTTGTCTGCAGTCTCTCTCTGCGATGTGCAGTGTGCTGTCTGCAGTCTCTGCCGTGTGCAGTGTGCTGTCTGCAGTCTCTGCCGTGTGCAGTGTGCTGTCTGCAGTCTCTCTCTCTCTGCGATGTGCAGTGTGTTGTCTGCAGTCTCTGCGTTGTGCAGTGTGTTGTCTGCAGTCTCTGTGATGTGCAGTGTGTTGTCTGCAGTCTCTGCGATGTGCAGTGTGTTGTCTGCAGTCTCTGCGATGTGCAGTGTGTTGTCTGCAGTCTCTGCGATGTGCAGTGTGTTGTCTGCAGTCTCTGCGATGTGCAGTGTGTTGTCTGCAGTCTCTCTCTGCGATGTGCAGTGTGTTGTAGAGTTGCAAAATTTCACTACCGCACTACCGGCATGCCGGTAATTTTTCACTACCGCAGGTTTATTCGTGGTAACTGGCATGTCTTGCCGGTAGCATGCCGGTATTTTTGATTTTGTGCAAAAAAAATATCAGCAAATGATTCAAACTTTGGACACTAAGAGGCTCTCAAATTGTAGTAACAGCAATATTAGCCACTGCAAGATACATTTTGTGGTAGAATTTCCATTGCTAAGTGTAGGGGTAACACATGGACCTCAGCATTTCACACAATTCACAGGCTTGGTTATAATTAGAATTGTCAAGAATCTACTGTGGTCTATAAAAGGAAGAATACTCATTCATGTTGCAAAAGCACGATAAACTAGTAAGTCTAATGATAGGTAATACGTATAGCACAATAAAATAAATCAATGTTCATGACAACATTCCCTAGGGGAAAAGGCAGAATCAAAACACCAAAAAACACAATGTTTGGAAACTGGCCTTGAGTCCTGAGATCATGAGATGTGGTCTGAGACATAGGCGGCGGAACGATTTGAGACAAGGGGGGGCACCATGGCTCAAGGAGCCAAACCTAGGGTACCCCCAAATCCTGTTTTCTCATCGGATTTAGGCCACTTATTTTTCGTCACAGCCCTGACACGATGATTTTTTTTTTAATTTTATTTTTTACTAAACGAAAATGGCAGTTCACCCCCGTATGCAGGGGTGTAATTTTATATCTCTTTGTGGGGGCATATGCACCCACAATCCTGAATTATGTATGCCCACACAATGATGAAAATGCACCCACAAGTCTTTTACAAGGCTGCAAGCGTCCTTTCGAGAGTTCGGTGCCCTTCGCATGCTCTAACGGCGTCCTCCTGACCGTCTCGCGTTCATGGATAATATAGCGTTTTTAATCACTCGGCGCCCTTCTGGGAGAATGGCGCACTTTTGACAGCACCGCGCCATTCTCATGGTCTAACGGCGCCCTCCTGACCGTCTCGCGTCCTTAGGTCTCTGTTCACCGTGCATCCCTCGACTGTTCGGCGCCCTTCTGGCCTCTCAGCGCCCCTGAACCACATATAGCGTTTTCAATCACTCGGCACCCTTTTACGAAAATGGCGCCCTTTTCATGATCTCAATGCGCCCTCGTAACCATCTGGCGTCCCCACGTCCCCACCAACGTAGCACTACTGACTGTGCGGCGCCCTTCTGGCCTCTTAGCGCCCCTGGACCACATAGCCGGTTTTCAATCACTCGGCGCCCTCCCAAGAGAATGGCGCCCTTTTCATCGTCTCACGGCGCCCTCGTAAGTCGTAACCGTCTGGTGCCTCCACATTTGGTGCCCCTCCTACTGGATGGCGCCCTCTACAGCTTTTTACGTCCTTCCGGTCAGTTTCCACTTTTAAGCGTGTATTTGCTTAGTCAGACACGTCACTTGAAGCGCCATTCGGCTAGCAATGTCATCAAATTCGGTGTTAATTTAGGCTCCCACATAAAGAATATCTATCGCGCCCCAAAACGGCCTGGCGCCGGGCGCCCCTACAGCTGGGCACCCACAATCATTTTAGGAAAATTACACCCCTGCCCGTATGTGTGGTTAACTTTAAGCTGATCCCCAAGTACCTATGTGTTTGTCTCTTCCTTATTCTCGTTTGATAAATTCCATTAATCCTACATGTAACAAATTACCAAGAAGCCATCGCATGGTACTAATCAGTGGCGAATCCCAGGGTGGAGGTCACATGGGTCATGACTTAGGGCATGGGGTCACCACATGCCTGCCAGGAGCACCACAGGCCTGACAGCCGACAGGGGCATCACAGGCCCGCCAGGGGTACCATAGGCCTAGCAGGGGCACCACGGGCCTGTCAGTGGCACCACAGGCCTGTCAGGAGCACCATCGGCCTAGCAAAAGCACTACAGGTCTTCCAGGGGCACCACAGACCTGCCAGGGGCACCAGAGGCCTGCCAGGGGCACTATCGGATTCGCAGGGGAACCACCGGCCTCGCAAGGGCACCATGGGCCTGTCAAGGGCACCACAAGCCTGTCGTTGGCAATTTAGGATTGTCAGAGGCACCACAAACCTGTCAAGGGCACCTGCGTTCTAACAGGGGCACCACAAACCTGCCAAGGCCCAGGGACACCACAGGCTTAGCAAGGACACCACAGGCCTGTCAGGGCCCATGGGCACCTAAGTCATGTCAGGGCCCACCGTAGGCTTATCAGGGGGCAGGGTAGGTAGGTACCACAGTCTTTCCAGGGGCATCAGCAGCCTAGCAGGTGCAGGGGCACTAGTCATCACATGACTAACCAAAAATAAAGAAAATAAAAAAAAACTGAAAATAGGGCACCACCAAAATTAAGTGGCCGAAATCCGTTGAGGTTTTAATTTTGGGCATAGGTAGGGGCACCACTTCGATTCATGGCCCTCCCCTTGGAGTTTTCCCCGAATCTGCCCCTAGTACTAATACATCAAATTTAAGGGGGGGCACCTTGCTATTGGTGCCCCCCTAGCAGAATTCAAGGGGGGGCACGGTGCCCCGGTGCCCCCCCCGTTCCGCCGCCTATGGTCTGAGAAACTCTGTAATACAAAGAATTTGACACTGAAAATCCAGCTGAAAAGGCAGGTGTTAGGTAGCCCTGAGTCTGACTTTGGTCCCATTATTAAATGAAAATGGATTTAAACTGGCATTTTGTCTTATCTTTACAAGAAAACACATCATGCAGGCAAAATTGACAAAAAGTGGCGCAAACAATTAGACAACCAAGGATTTACTTTTAAGATTCTCTCTCCCCTAATGAATGGATGTAATCTGATGACGTAATATTTATTCATATACGCTTTTGGTTGAATAACAGAAGAGAGATGAATTTCTTTGCAGTGAATTACACTACAATGTTGATTTCATTATAATTTAATATTGTGTTGGGTAATTTTTATCAATATAACCATTCACGAAGCAGTGGCTTGCAGTCGTTTAACATTTTTTTTTGCAGCGTTTTAATCAGCTGGTTAAAAGCCTCTATTATGGCGCATCTGTTTCGAAATCGATAACCTTGTGTTTGTTCCCGCTTGAGGTTGGAGAGGATGGAAGATATCGTTTTTATACATATTATTTGGTGACTATTCTCAGGACCAGTGAGTTATTAACACATTTTTTACATTATTCGTATCTTATTCACGAACCAGCAAGCCATAGTGGATAGGAAAAAGTAGATGTTGATCTCGCTTCCTCAGTTAGGAAGATGGCCTAATCTGTACTTGTTAATCTATGTTTTGACCATCTATATTTTAAACATTTGGCTGGTGCCTGCAACATTTTAGGAGAATATGGAAAAGTAGAACAACTGTGAAATGTAAATGTGATTACTGCTCACTGTCCAGTCTTCAAAAACACATTTCAGTAATTCAAGTCCTTTTTGTCCTCACCTTTTTGATGAATGTAATAGTTTTTTTTTGTAGGCAATACTTTTTTGATTACAGGTGATATTTTAACAGTTATAGACTGGAATTGAGTTTCAAAATTGTGGGTATTTGTGGGGCCAACTCAGCCAAAATCAGCCTGCTGGTATTTGTGGTTGGACAATGGATGGCTGTTGGGTGGGAGGGGTACTGAAACTGCCAAAATGTGGCATCTCTTGCAGGGTTAAGCTAGAATCAAGAATGCAGGTTTTTTTAGTATGCCGGTAATTTGGCGGTTTTTTTTGCTTGGGGCGTGGTAGCATGCCGGTATCCCAGAAAATTTTTGTGGGGCGGGGCGGTGCCGGTAGCAGCCTTTTGGGAAAACTTTGCAACTCTAGTGTGTTGTCTGCAGTCTCTGCGATGTGCAGTGTGTTGTCTGCAGTCTCTGCGATGTGCAGTGTGTTGTCTGCAGCCTCTGCGATGTGCAGTGTGTTGTCTGCAGTCTCTGCGATGTGCAGTGTGTTGTCTGCAGTCTCTGCGATGTGCAGTGTGTTGTCTGCAGTCTCTGCCGTGTGCAGTGTGTTGTCTGCAGTCTCTGCGATGTGCAGTGTGTTGTCTGCAGTTTCTGCGATGTGCAGTGTGTTGTCTGCAGTTTCTGCGATGTGAAGTGTGTTGTCTGCAGGCTCTGCGATGTGCAGTGTGTTGTCTGCAGTCTCTGCGATGTGCAGTGTGTTGTCTGCAGTCTCTGCGATGTGCAGTGTGTTGTCTGCAGTCTCTCTCTGCGATGTGCAGTGTGTTGTCTGCAGTCTCTCTCTGCGATGTGCAGTGTGTTGTCTGCAGTCTCTGCCGTGTGCAGTGTGTTGTCTGCAGTCTCTGCGATGTGCAGTGTGTTGTCTGCAGCCTCTGCGATGTGCAGTGTGTTGTCTGCAGTCTCTGCGATGTGCTGTGTGTTGTCTGCAGTCTCTGCGATGTGCAGTGTGTTGTCTGCAGTCTCTGCCGTGTGCAGTGTGTTGTCTGCAGTCTCTGCGATGTGCAGTGTGTTGTCTGCAGTCTCTGCGATGTGCAGTGTGTTGTCTGCAGTTTCTGCGATGTGCAGTGTGTTGTCTGCAGGCTCTGCGATGTGCAGTGTGTTGTCTGCAGTCTCTGCGATGTGCAGTGTGTTGTCTGCAGTCTCTGCGATGTGCAGTGTGTTGTCTGCAGTCTCTGCACTGTGCAGTGTGTTGTCTGCAGTCTCTGCGATGTGCAGTGTGTTGTCTGCAGTCTCTGCGATGTGCAGTGTGTTGTCTGCAGTCTCTGCGATGTGCAGTGTGTTGTCTGCAGTCTCTGCGATGTGCAGTGTGTTGTCTGCAGTCTCTGCGATGTGCAGTGTGTTGTCTGCAGTCTCTGCGATGTGCAGTGTGTTGTCTGCAGTCTCTGCGATGTGCAGTGTGTTGTCTGCAGTCTCTGCGATGTGCAGTGTGTTGTCTGCAGTCTCTGCGATGTGCAGTGTGTTGTCTGCAGTCTCTGCACTGTGCAGTGTGTTGTCTGCAGTCTCTGCGATGTGCAGTGTGTTGTCTGCAGTCTCTGCGATGTGCAGTGTGTTGTCTGCAGTCTCTGCGATGTGCAGTGTGTTGTCTGCAGCCTCTGCGATGTGCAGTGTGTTGTCTGCAGTCTCTGCGATGTGCAGTGTGCTGTCTGCAGCCTCTGCGATGTGCAGTGTGTTGTCTGCAGTCTCTGCTGTATGCAGTGTGTTGTCTGCAGTCTCTGCGATGTGCAGTGTGTTGTCTGCAGTCTCTCTCTGCGATGTGCAGTGTGTTGTCTGCAGTCTCTCTCTGCGATGTGCAGTGTGTTGTCTGCAGTCTCTGCGATGTGCAGTGTGCTGTCTGCAGCCTCTGCGATGTGCAGTGTGTTGTCTGCAGTCTCTCTCTGCGATGTGCAGTGTGTTGTCTGCAGTCTCTGCGATGTGCAGTGTGCTGTCTGCAGCCTCTGCGATGTGCAGTGTGTTGTCTGCAGTCTCTCTCTGCGATGTGCAGTGTGTTGTCTGCAGTCTCTGCGATGTGCAGTGTGTTGTCTGCAGTCTCTGCGATGTGCAGTGTGTTGTCTGCAGCCTCTGCGATGTGCAGTGTGTTGTCTGCAGTCTCTGCGATGTGCAGTGTGTTGCCGGGGCGGTGATGGAACTGGTGCGCTGTGTGTGGAGCTGTGCTGAAACTGCGGCACTGTGCGGGCCGGTGACTGCTGTCCTTTAGCCGACTCGCCTGTGCTGGCGCCGACAGGCTCCTGTATAAACTGGATCGGCTGCGACGACTGCGAGCAGTGGTACCACTACATCTGCGTCGGCCTGCCCAAGAACTACCAGGTGACCGAGGACATGGTGTACATCTGCCCGCGCTGCCAGGACACCCAGGTGAGCTGGCGACACACCGTGCCATGGCCATCGCTGCAGCCAAACGTACCTACTGTATGTATGTACGGCTCTCGCGAGATCAGATTAAGCGGTAGGTTTTGCACTTTTACATTTCCGGTTATATCTCAGAAACTAATCGATCTACGATGAAGCCATTTTACACGATCATGGCCGGCTTGTGAACCAACAAGTCGATTGCATCTTCAGCACTTAAAAGCTTAAGACGACGAAGATATAGCCTGAAGTACACTAAATCCTAGGTGCAAAACCTACGGCTAAAACCCGCGAGACCTGTACATCAAACTGTCGGCTTCATTCACTGGATCATCGCCTTGATAAAGTTGATGATCTCTTCACTCTCTCGCTGGAGCGGAGGAGGCTTACAGGCCTGCGATCCGGTGGAAGGAATTGCACGGCGCTCTCGTCACCAACGTATTCGGCCTACTGAGAGTAGCGAGCTGGCGCATGTAACCGCAGCTGCACCGGGAAAAATGTCAACCAGCTAAAGCTCCATGTCTGCCAAACGTCATTGCCAGTAGCCAGGGCTCTGTCCCATGCTGGACGCGTCCAGTCACTAGGAGGTATTGGCGCTCGGTTTCTATGAAAACGTATGCAAAATTGCGCATTCTGCTCACGTTTCCACAGAAACCTAACACCAATACCTGGTAGCGTTGGGTAACAGCGTGCGATGAAAGATGGGCCAGGTGACGGAACTCCTGTACAGGATTACTGAAAGTACCTCGCCACATCATTACCGCTCCAGACCGTGTGTCAAAATGCGTACCGGTTCACAACGACTGCATGGCCACTGCAGTCTGAACGACCACCCCTCGGCTGTATGCTTAGACTGTCGTGTGGCAGAGGTTAATGCCACTTTGGCAGGTCAGAAACCTTTGAGATGGATTCAGAGAGCTTGTACAGCTCGCAGCAAATGCGTTCCGCCGTTTCCAATTTTCCATTCTGCGTACATACATGGTGACACAAAAAAAACGGTCATCACCAAATTTCGAATAACTTCGGAAGTTTTATTCAAATCATCACCAAACTTCGGCCACTTAAGGTCACACCTATGTAGCATACATCCACTAAGTTTCAAGTCTTCACTACGAATACTTTTAGTACAGTGTGTGTTTTACTGACGCTCCACAATGTGCTCCAGGTGAGCGCCACGGCGCTGCAGGGCGTAGGCACACTTGCATCCGGCGGGAAAAGTTGTCGATAACCCGATGGCTGTGCACTTTACAGAGTGCAATGGCCTCTGAAGACAGTGTTCAGGGGTGTGCTACCCCTGAAACGTTATTCTTATCGGGTTATCGGCAACTTTGCCCGCCGGATGCAGGTGTGCCTACGCCCTGCAGCGCCGGGGCGCTCACCTGGAGCACATTGTGGAGCGTCCGTAAAACACACACTGTACTAAAAGTATTCGTAGTGAAGACTTGAAACTTGGTGGATGTCTGCTACATAGGTGTGACCTAAAGTGGCCGAGGTTTGGTGATGATCTGAATAAAACTTCCGAAGTTATTCGAATTTTGGTGATGACCGCTTTTTTGTGTCACCCTGTATATGTAAAGACGACATTGTGTGTCACAAATGTGTATAACAAGCCTTGGTTAACAAGTTAAGTGATACCAATTTTCTTGGTGGATAGACACGGCCAGAAATAAACCCAAGCCAGTCTTGAAAACATTACTAAACATGCATCGCTAATGATACTTGCTTTTTCCCCGTCATATACCGCTTACGCCGCCTACCCTCATTTGTGCCCAATGTTCCCAAATGGGAACATCATTTTTTAAAAGGTTCGAAATTTTTAGAGGAAAACTAAGGCCATAATTACAATCAGGGAGGTCAAAAACCCTCAAAACACCATTCGGAACATAAAATATCACCGCATTTATATGTTTGGTCCTTAATGAGTAAAGGCCGCCCCACACTGGAACTCGCATGTGGGTTGCGAGTTTGCTGGTTTTGAGTTTGCGGGCATAATAGGTACCAATTCATAGGGTGATTAAACCGTTCCCTTATGGTAACTTCATAAATGCAGTGAAGCCGGTACACCTTCAGAAACTTACATATAGTCGCAATACCAGCGCAACGAACCAAAATTCGACTCAAACGAAAACCCCGCAAACCTCGCAGACCTCGTAGACCTCGCAGCGAGGACATTCGAAAATTGACTCAAAATCAACTTTTGGAATGCGATGCAAGGTCACTCGCAAGCAAAAAACATGCAGACTCGCTCGTTAGATGGTAGTGTGGGCCACTTAGCTTAGATTGTATTATCTGATTTTGAAGAAACCGCAAAACCCAAAAACTCGCAACCCGCATGCGGGGTCCAGTGTGGGGGCGGCCTTTAAAGCCACTTGGGAGTTTCGAAGTCCGCAGTGACGTCTCCCCACTCCAAATGTGGCATCCAATCCGCTCCCAAAGAACCGCTATGTAGCAGCGGTCTGCAGCAGTTGGAGTTCTAAAAACAGAAGTTCAGGGCTATAAAGAGCGCAATCAACATGCACCTCAAAGAAATCTTCCCGACAAAGCAGGCACGCTCGGCTGTTCCGCGCTGGCATAGCAGGCATAGCGGGGAGTGATCGTGGATGGATATGTTGACTTAATTGGTGTGACAGCTGTGCAGTGTGCGCTGGTCACTTTCAGGGGCATTTCTACGGTCGCAGGTTTGAGGATGTCCATCAAGACAGCCCATATTCAGCCCAGATTCAGCCCGGATTCAGCCCAGATTCGGGACACCTCCGATCAAGCTGAAACTCGCACACAATGTAGGTCCTGACGTGCCCAATCCACAGTCCGAGTCATTCGGTGGCACTCCCAGCCGTTTGACCTACAGAGGTCAGCAAAGGTCACGTAGCCCAAATTTGCACAGCAGATTGTGGCCCACCCAGTAAAGCTAGAGCGCTAAAAATGACACTAATCGACTCGCCAGCATCTAATCTTACTTTCCAAAGACCCATTTGACCTCTCAAGGTCATGCGATGACCTTAGGTCATCTGTGGGCTATGTAGAAAATACACTTGCACAGCAGTTCTCGAGTAAAGGGATTGACCGAATTCCAAATCAAAGCATATCATCGGGTAGCCCATAGGCCGTAGTAACTTCCTTAAAAACCGCTTCTCGATATGTGACCCCGTTTGACCTCGGCAGGGCAAAACGTACAAATAAACGACACTCCATACGTCGCCGCATTCAGCCCAGATTCGGGACACTTCAGATCAAGCTGAAACTTGCACACAATGTAGGTCGTGACATGCCCAATCCACAGTCCGAGCCGTTCGGTGTCACATCCAGCCGTTTGACCTATAGAGGTCAGCAAAGGTCACGTGACCCAAATTTGCACAGCAGATTGTGGCCCACCCAGTAAAGCTAGAGCGCTAAAAATGGCACTAATCGACTCGCCAGCATCTATTCTTACTTTCCATATACCCATTTGACCTCTCAAGGTCATGCGATGACCTAAGATCATTTGTGGGCTTTGTCGAAAATACATTTGCACAGCAGTTCTCGAGTAAAAGGATTGGCCTAATTCCAAATCAAAGCACATCATCGGGTGCCCATAGGCTGTAGTAACTTTCCTTAAAAACCGCTTCTCGATATGTGACCCCGTTTGATCTCGGCAGGGCAAAATGTACAAATAAATTTGGGCCACGTGACCTTTGCTGACCTCTGTAGGTCAAACGGCTGGGAGTGCCACCAACTGACTCGGACGTCAGGACCTACATCGTGTGCGAGTTTCAGCTTGATCGGAGGTGTCCCGAATCTGGGCTGAATCCGGGCTGCGACGCATGGAGTGTCGTTTATTTGTACCTACATTTTGCCCTGCCGAGGTCAAACGGGGCCACGTATCAAGAAGCGGTTTTTAAGGAAAGTTACAACGGCCTATGGGCTACCCGATGATGTGCTTTGATTTGGAATTCAGTCAATCCCTCTACTCGAGAACTGCTGTGCAAGTGTATTTTCGACATAGACTACAAATGGCCTTAGGTCATCGCATGACCTTGAGAGGTCAAATGGATATTGGGAAAGTAAGATTAGATGCTGGCGAGTCGATTGGTGCCATTTTTAGCGCTCTAGCTCTACTTGGTGGGCCACAATCTGCTGTGCAAATTTGGGCTACGTGACCTTTGCTGACCTCTGTAGGTCAAACGGCTGGGAGTGCCACCGAATGACTCGGACTGTGGATTGGGAACGTCAGGACCTACATTATGTGCAAGTTTCAGCTTGATCGGAGGTGTCCCGAATCTTGGCTGAATCCGGGCTGAATATTGGCTGTCTTGATGGACATGGTTTGGGGGATGTCTAATCCTGCAACGCACGCCTTTATAAATTAGGCTGCATTACGAAAGTCAGGGTCCGGACCCCCGCGACCCCACCGATGGCGGAGCCCCTGGTCACGTTCATGGGAATAAGTAAGGCAAGAAGGAATGCTAGCCTATGCGCTTGTATTGCAGGGGAACGGAACGTGCAGCTGCAATACCTACACGTTTTTTTAATGAAAATAACTGACTCCGGTTAATAAAGGCACCGCTTAATAAATCCAAAACACCTTGTCACCAAGGTGGATTTATTAAGAGGATTCCACTGTATTAGATTTTTAGGTACTTGTGTTTACTTTTTGGAGCCTTCGCTGTTCCCATGGCGTCATTTGGAAGCAATAATTTGGCATCTTATAGTGCGGCAGATGCTGCTCGCCAAGTGGTATATATACCACGACAGCAGCAGTTTTCCTTTAGTATCAGATTTAAAAATCGCTAGACCTGCGCTGACGTGACAAAGTCTAAGGGGGCATTCATATAGCGCCTTATAATCCGAAAACTGCAACTTTGAAATTAAATATCTCCGAATTGAAGCATTTCTCGATGTTGTGAGTGCCCGAACTGGTAATTGCAGGCCAGAGACCCAAATTTAGCTATCTCAGCTCAAAACTAATGTTAAGGTGGGATGGTCACTTTATTAGCCTCGCTTGTTTGAATAAACGGCTTTATGTAGCATGGTTTTATATTAGGACCTCTGTAATGGCAATACAACCAAATATAGTGAATGGAGAAAGCACGCAGGCACACACACAGGACGCGCCGCCCATGTGTGTGTGTGTGTGTGTGTGTGTGTGTGTGTGCGTGCGTGCGTGCGTGCGTGCGTGCGTGTGTGTGTGCCCCTATGACGCGCCGCCCCTGTGTGTGTCTGTGTGCGCCACCCCTGTGACGCGCCGCCCCTGTGTGTGTGTCTGTGTGCGCCGCCCCTGTGTGTGTCTGTGTGCGCCACCCCTGTGACGCGCCGCCCCTGTGTGTGTCTGTGTGCGCCACCCCTGTGACGCGCCGCCCCTGTGTGTGTCTGTGTGCGCCGCCCCTGTGTGTCTGTGTGCGCCGCCCCTGTGACGCGCCGCCCCTGTGTGTGTCTGTGTGCGCCACCCCTGTGACGCGCCGCCCCTGTGTGTCTGTGACGCGCCGCCCCTGTGTGTGTCTGTGTGCGCCGTCCCTGTGTGTGTCTGTGTGCGCCACCCCTGTGACGCGCCGCCCCTGTGTGTGTCTGTGTGCGCCGCCCCTGTGACGCGCCGCCCCTGTGTGTGTCTGTGTGCGCCGCCCCTGTGTGTGTCTGTGTGCGCCGCTCCGGTGACGCGCCGCCCCTGTGTGTGTCTGTGTGCGCCACCCCTGTGACGCGCCGCCCCTGTGTGTGTCTGTGTGCGCCGCCCCTGTGTGTGTCTGTGTACGCCGCCCCTGTGACGCGCCGCCCCTGGGTGCTGCAGGCGCCGCGGCCGGCAGCGGCCGGAGCAGGCGGCGGCGGCTCGCTGCTGGAGCTGGCAGGCGGCGGCGGCTCGCTGCTGGAGCTGGCCGCCGCCGCTCAGGAGGAGGACGGCGCCAGCGCGCTGCTCTCGCTGGCGGCCGGCGGCGCCGGCCAGTCGCCCGAGCTGCAGTAGCGGCCCTCTGGCAGCACGCACCGGGCGCCCAGTGTCGACGGCAGCCGCACTCGGCCGCGGCGCGCTGGCGTCGAGCGCAGCTCAGCACGCGGAGCACACGTTCAAACAGTTCTGCTTTGATTGGGACGTCACCTTTCGGGTTTTGTGTAGTTTATGACTCTGAACACAAAAGCGTCGTCTGCGTTGCGCCGCCGCCGAAGAGCGTCGTATATGTTCTGCGGTTCAGCGCGCTCTCCCAGTCTGCGTGTCCCAGTCTGTGTGGCGCGCTGTCCCAGTCTGTGGGGCGCGCTGTCCCGGTCTGTGGGGCGCGCTGTCCCGGTCTGCGGGGCGCGCTGTCCCAGTCTGTGGGGCGCGCTGTCCCGGTCTGTGGGGCGCGCGCTGTCCCGGTCTGTACGATGCGCTGTCCCAGTCTGTGGGGCGCGCTGTCACGGTCTGTACGAAGCGCTGTCCCGGTCTGTACGATGCGCTGTCCCGGTCTGTGGGGCGCGCTGTCCCGGTCTGTACGATGCGCTGTCCCGGTCTGTGGGGCGCGCCGCTCGGCAGCTTCTCTGGTGGCGCTGGGGTTCGGCGTTCCCGGTGGCAGCCGATAGCTTGGCTGCTGTCTGTGTGGGAGGGGATTCCGGCGTTCGTGAAGCGCTCTGTCCACGGCCACCGAGGCAGTTCCGCGCAGTCCGGTCAGCGCCATGTTCACTGATCAGTGACTCGCACCAATTTCGGCCTGGTATTCACCTCTATGTGACCACATCTGAAGCGTAGAAAGGTTCAATAAATGCACATTTGATGATGTGTTTTGAACGCGCCTGTGCAGAGGCGTAACTTTGTGTACTTTTGGGGACAGGTGCCTCCCCCCGCCCCCTACACCTTAAAACCTGCCACCCATCACTCCCGTTTGCCCCCTCAACCTTTCGCGCCCCTCAACAGGCGTCCCGAGGGGCAAAGGAGCCCGCCCATTTGTAAGGGCGCCGCTCTAGCCGTTACCATTGCCGCTCTGGGTAGCGCCTTATCTCAGCCCTGTTGCAAAAACGGCACACTTAGCTGGGTGCAGCGCCCCATCGGTTCAAAACAGCGCCCCTCGAGCCAAAATTGTCGCCCCTCTGAATACACGGTTGTTGCATCATGCATGTCATCTCTTTTGCTAAGACTGACGCTCCTGGCACGACAGGGCGACGTCCCACCCGACTAGCAACGGAACCCTGGAGGCCCTTTTGAGGCCGGTGAGGTCCTCCAGGTCCCTCTGGCCAATACCCTGTGCCATGGCTGCTGCTAGAACAGCACCCCGGTCCGGCAGGCTATCCCCCTGGCTTCTGGTGCCCCCCCCCCCCTGTGCCGCGCCTGGCGCGCCTCTGCAGCGAGTCATACAATCTGTGTGGGTAACAATGGCGCCCCCGTGCCGCGCCTGGCGCGCCTCTGCAGCGAGTCATACAATCTGTGTGGGTAACAATGGCGCCCCCGTGCCGGGCCTGGCGCGCCTCTGCAGCGAGTCATACAATCTGTGTGGGTAACAATGGCGCCCCCGTGCCGGGCCTGGCGCGCCTCTGCAGCGAGTCATACAGTCTGTGTGGGTAACAATAGCGCCCCTCGGACGGTGTGGCGCACCTCACCGATTCTGAACGGCGCACCTCGAGTCATTGCCAGCGGGGCATTCCACGAGAGATCGACCAAAGCCGTACACCCTCATATTGTATTTTTTGTTTAAAATTGGTCTAATGGGTTGTGATGGGCGGGGAACCCAGCTGTGGCAAGGATTTTTTTCCTCGAACAACGGTTTCCGAGATATAGCCTCGGGCAGTTCCTGGAGGTCACGCTGCAACCCTATGTTTGGCGGCCTATAACTCAGAAACTGTTGGTTTTCTATGATAAAAACTTGATATGGTTCAACTCGTTATCAAGCAACAAATATTTTGGCTATCTCGGATTTTCAATTTTTGAAAATTTTGATCACGTGACCTCTTGACCTATTTTCGAAGAGTGACCTTGACATTGTCCCCACTGTAAGTTGCAATTTTGTCTAATGACGATTAAAGCCTTATTAATTGTTATTCATATGCAATAATAAAAAAGGGGCTTTCGGCCTGCGTTCACCTCAGGTCAGGTCATTTTTGTGACCTGTCCTTTATAAGTCAGTGGCAGAAGTATCGGCTACCACCGAAACGCATCTGACCGGTTCAAATACTTTTGAATCATGTTGAGTTAGGCTATAATTGATGACACTGGTGCAGTTTTGCATCAGTGACCCGCTGAAAGGTCATCCGGGCCCCGGGGTCACCCGTTGAACACAGAACAATAATTTTCTTCTTTTTTTTTTTGTCTGTACCATTTGATCTAATAGAGAAAGAGACTCGGAACAGGCAACATTGTGTTTTCTTTGGCCTAGCGCTAGTTCGCTTTGAATTTCTATATCGATGACCTAAGGTCAGGTCAATTTCTTGCCCACCCGATTAAAAGTCAATTGGGTCAATCAGCTCCCTTACTTTTACACTAAAACGCGTCGGAATTGCCTAATATACCATGAGTGACTTCATATACTTTGACTATTTTGAAACCTGTTTTGCTCTTGGGCAGCAGTAAGGTCATGTGACGTCATTAAAGGTCACCAAAGGTTTCCTGTGACGTCATCTTTACCTGACCTCAAAATGACCTCCGTAAAAATTGTAGATCTTATCTGTGTGTATCCTGTGCCGTTTACCGCTTGTCGCTATCTTGCTTTGTTCTCGAGATCTCGCTGTCACTCCCGCTCGTAATAATAGGCAGGTCATAAAAATGACCTGACCTGAGGTCAACGCAGGCCGAAAGCCACTTTTTTATTATTGCATATGAATGCCAATTGATAAGGCTTTAATCGTCATCAGACACAATTGCAACTTTCAGTGGGGAAAATATCAAGGTCACTCTTTGAAAAATAGGTCAAGAGGTCACGTGATCAACGTTTTGAAAAATTGAAAATCCGAGATAGTCAAAATGTTCGTTGGTTGATTGTAAGCTGAACCATATAAAAAATTTATCATAGAAAACCAATAGTTTCTGAGTTATAAGCCGCAAAAAATAGGGTTGCGGCGTGACCTCCAGGAATCGAGGCTATATCTCGGAAACCGTTGTTCGAAGAAAAAAATGCTTGCCGCAGTTGGCTTCCCCGCCCATGAAAATCCTTTCGACCAGTTTTAAACGAAAAATAAAATATGTGGGTGTCAAAATTTTTTTGTCGATCTATCGTGGAATGCCCCGTATAGCGCCCCAACGATTCATAAAACTGCGACCCACCGGTACAGGATCACTGAAGCACATACATTGGATTGGCACCTGCATTTTATTCAAATGATATATCACGACGCCAGCACTGAGCTCTGGCACCAACATCTGTCAACAACAAATCCAAGAACGAAGGTGCCGTCCGCCCGCGTGGCCGACGTCTACTGGTGACAACTAGCTGTCTGACTGCGGCCTCGGCCGACGTCTACTGGTGACAACTAGCTGTCTGACTGCGGCCTCGGCCTGGTCGGCGGCCGGCCCGGCGCCACCACCAGTCCCACACACTCACACAGACAGACGCACGCCGACAGCAGCGCGCAGCCGAGCGGCGGCAACAGCGCTGACCACAGGAGCCGGCCACTGGGCGGGCCCATCCGCGGCGCGTGGACGGCCCGGTATCGGGCTACCTACTCAACTCGGCCTGTAGACACTACGGACGCGGCGCCGACTGGCGGCCCGGGCCCGGCGCCGTGCCACGGCCGCGGCCCGGCGCGCCGCCCGGCGGCTGACTAGTGGCGGCCCCGCCGCGCCGGCGAGTCTCAGCTGGCCGGCGTCTCTCAGCTGCCGCCGGCGGCGCCCGCCAGCGGCAGGCAGTCGTACGCCTCCAGCGCCGACATCACCACGTACACCAGCCAGAGCAGCAGCAGGAACAGAGACGAGGCCGCCTTGATGGCGCGCGGACCGCCCAGCTCGCCGCCGACGCGAGGGTGCCGCCGCAGCAGCATCAGGCCGATGGCGAGCGCCGCCTCGCAGCAGTACAGCGTCACGGAGAAGGCCAGGCTGCGCACACACGGGGGGGGGGGGAGTCAGCGCCGCCTCGCAGCAGTACAGCGTCACGGAGAAGGCCAGGCTGCGCACAGGGGAGGGGGGGGGAGTCAGCGCCGCCTCGCAGCAGTACAGCGTCACGGAGAAGGCCAGGCTGCGCACAGGGGAGGGGGGGAGTCAGCGCCGCCTCGCAGCAGTACAGCGTCACGGAGAAGGCCAGGCTGCGCACAGGGGAGGGGGGGGGGGAGTCAGCGCCGCCTCGCAGCAGTCTCCCTTATACACCTTTTTGCACCACAAATCGGCATTTGGTCATTCAATTTCGACACTTTGCATTGGATATCGACAGAGCTACCTCCATCTAGACATGCCTCACACATTTATAATTATTTCATCAATGTTAAAATATCACCGGTTCATATTCGATCTGTTGCGTCGAATTTCGACAGGGGCATTGAATTTCGACAATGGTCAGCTGTAAATGAAGAACTGCATTTGTTTTTGACATTTTACAATCAATTCTGGCTATGGTTGTTTTGCTTTTTATAGATTTAAAAAGCAAAATCGGCAAATCGGCATTAAAATTACCTTATCATGTGAAAGCGCTTGGTTGCTAATATATATTTAAGTAGGTCAGAGGTCAGGTCAAGGTCAGGTCAAGGGTACAAAATGCAAGTTTCTACAGTATCAGACTTGCACCGTAGTTGCCGAAGAATTGACTGAGACTGATTGCCCAAAACGTGTTCTTAGACTACCAAGACAATATTCGTTGCATACAATGTCATTCAAAGGTCAAGGTCAAGGTCAGGTCAGGTCAGGTCAGGCCACCAAAAACAAAATATAGAAAAGGGCATGTGCGACACATGTTTTATGGGTCATTTTACTCATAGAATTCAATAGGCACACTCAATAAGTGATATGGACCACCTCTGGATGAATTTCAGGTCGAGGTCAGGTCAAGGTCAGGTCAAGTGAGGTCAAATTTTGAAGTTGGTTGTTAAGGCCTAAAAAGGTGTCTATCTGATGCAGTTTTTCACGGCGAATCGAATGGTGCTATTTTTGCTTCCGTACGAGTTCTAGAACTTCAAAAAAAAAAATCATTTTTCAAAAAAAAATCGTGTGTCGTGACGTCTTAAAATTATGAATAATTCCCACATTTTTGAACCGATTCTTCTAAAAAATTGGTATGTAGGTGCACATAGACTAACTTCTCTGACATATAGGGGAGAGTGGGGAAAGATGCCCAGGGTTTTACTATGTCAGATTTTATTCGAAAATGACGATCGGAAAGCAAAAACTTGGAGTTTCAACGGAAGCCGACATCATTTTTCTCCAAAAATATCACACTTTCGTGCCTGAAATATGATAACTTTTTTGCTATTAAGCATTTCCCTGAAGAAGTGAAAGGGGGCATCTTACCCCACAGGATGGGAAAGATGCGCCCTGGCGTTGGGTAAGATGCCCCCTGCACTATAAGTGACATAAATGGGCACGTGAATCGCCTGAACGAATCAGCAGTCCCTTCGAGCCTGCAGTAGACACCAAACGTCATCGTAAGGGCCCCCAAAAGTAGTCGTAAGGGGCTTCAGATTCAGATTCAGATTCAGATTCAGATGTATTCGAATAAGGTCCACAATAAACGTGGCTCAGAGGTCATTGTTAGGGCCATCATAGTCCAGCGCGGCCAAACAAGCCTCCGTGGTGGCGTTCGGAGACCACTGTGAGGCCCTTGTAGGTCTTCATGATGCCTGAGGGCCCTCGAGCCCATCGTGTGGACCCCAGATGCCAGCGCGGCCCGTGGAGCCAACGTGGGAGCCCTCAAAGGATGTCGTGAGGGGCCCTGGAGCCAATAATGGGGCCCACAGAGGCCGTCGTGAGGGCTCTCAGAGTCAGATGCCGCCCAAAAAGTCGTTGTATGGGCCGAGAGACCGGCATGGGGAGCACCCGACCGTACTGGACTCTCAATAGTCCCAGATCGGCTATTGTCTCTAATCACAAGTATGTAATAAATGATTTGACGGGATGCTTGAAGGACAGCCTACGGATTTAGGGGGGCGTCTTACCCCATCAGGACAGGGGGACCCCAAGGTATCGAAGTAACATTAAATCAGTACAATTTGTTAGCCATAAAACTACACCCTGAAATAAATTGTTTGGGACACAGTACACGCATGTTAATGTATCACGACTATAGCAAGGGACGCAAAAATTATCTACCTTCTTTGATATTTACAATGTTTTGACACCAAAATATTTTTTGAAAGCAGCAAATAAAAAACATGCAATCACCAGCCAGCCGTTGCTCAACTGAGCTTCGCAAATTTTTGTGCAGTTAACAAGGCAGGCTTCCGCTTTACGCTAAGAACATTAATTTCCAGGTTCGATTCTTTGTTTCGCCGCTAGAGGGGGTGGGGCGTCTTTCCCACCCTGGGCATCTTACCCCACTCTCCCCTATTCCGGTTTTTTCGATACACTCAAAATTTTGGATTTTATAATTATTTGCCCAAAAAAGTCATTTTTTAAAGAAAAAAATGGGCCAAAATCAAAAAATAAAAAAAAACGAGAAAGCCACTTGATAGACAAAGTAGTATCACGTATAACCTTTTCGTTACGTCTTGATTCCTTTAAAAATGAAGATGTTAGCGGCGTTTGAAATTTTGCCGTTTTTGAGGCGAAAATAGCGAACATGACGTCACCAAAACGCCAATTTCTCAAAAAAAAAAATCCGACGGATTTCGCTCAAATTTTCAGGGAACGTGTCACATTGATGTATGATAAGATACTAAAAGTTTGACGTCGCTGGCGTAACGCGTTTAGAAGTTATTGGCGAAAAACGGGAGGGGGCAGATTCTGCCCCCCCCCCCCCCTCCAGCCCCGCGCGGGTTAACGCACGAGTGCTCCATTCCATTCACGAGTGCGTTAAAACCATTTATGCACGGAAACCATGTGTTAAACTAATTAATACATGCTTAACGGTGCGTCTGTCAGTACCGGGAGGCACATTCTGTCAGTACCGGGCGGCACAGTCTGCCAGTACCGAGCGGCATAGTCTGCCAGTAGCAGGCGGCACAGTCTGCCAGTACCGAGCGACTGCTGCCAGTACTGAGGTACACTGGCACGCGGCGGCTGCCAGTGCTGAGGTACACTGGTGTCCAGCTGCGGAGTACCAGAGCGAGAACATGTGCTGGGAACAGGCGACTGTCCCGCGCCAGCGCAGCGTTCAACCAGCTCCCATGTGGCGTGCGGTGCCTGACTGGAGCTGCTTTCAAACGTCGGCTCAAACAGCTGTTACTTAACGAGACTGGAGTTGGATGACTGAGTGTTGTGTTCTGCGAGGTTTAATGTCTATTTTAGTTCATCATCATCTGTTTTATGACCCACGAACCGACGGGGGGTTGACCGCCCCCCCCCCTGAGGTTTTCGTGAATAGCGCAAAAACTGCGGCGCGTAGCGGCGCGAAATTTAGCACGACCTTTCCCTCATCAATTTTACACATGGTGTGCAAGTTTGAACCTCCTACCATTCAAGGTCAGGTCACCAGGTCACTTCGAATGACCCAGCCTCAAATCACTTTTTTGAAACTTTGTAACCGTATCAGAGCTACAGTAGACGACGGAGGCTTTTGAAAGTCACAGGATGTAACGAGGTCATTAGTAGCTACAATTTGTATATCTCGGAATTTCGATATCGATAACCTAAGGTCAGGTCCATTTCTTGACCTCCTCATTATAAGTCAATGGGGGAAGGGGGAATCAACTCCCTGTTTTTTTCTCACTAAAACGCGTCGGAATGGCCTAATATACCAGTGGCGGATCCAGGGGGGGGGGCAAAATGGGCATTTGCCCCTCCGAAACGGCATAATTTTAACATTACGCCTATGGAAGAGGCATGGAAAGAAGCAATAAATTGTTATGGTTTGCCCCCCCCCAAAAAAAACTCAGCTGGATCCGCCACTGTAATATACCATGATAGACTTCAGATACGATCAACCTTGACTACCTCGAGGCCTTTTTGCTCTTGGGCAACTGTAAAGTCACGTGACGTCATCAAGGGTCACTAAAGGTTTTTTTCTTATAACTCGTCACAGGAAGAAGATACAGCCGCGCGGATGGTCTCGTCGTGTTCAACTTGTCAAGGCGCATCGAATGATAAACATGATGACCTTGAGGTTACGTGAGCTGAGGTTAACCTTTGAACTTGACCTTTCGAGGTCAACACACATATCATTCGATGCGGATTGACGAGAGGATCACGATGGTGCCCTTAGTTTGTTTCTAGCTTGGCTAGTCCGAAAGTTATTCGACGAAAACTCTCCTCATATCTAGCGCCGCAATTTTGACTTTTTTTACCCCTGTGACGTCATCTTTGACCTGACCTGAAAATAGCCTGAGTAAAAATTGTAGACCTTGTCCGTGCGTACCCCATGCCGTTTACCGCTTGTGTCTATCTTGCTTCGTTCTCGAGATCTTAGGGGGCGAGGCGGTCAACGCCCCCCCCCCCCCCGCGTCGGTTCTAAGTTGGCGCAGCCCCGTCGGTGCGCGGGTTAATGGACATGCTGTGACTCGGGTGCGGAAGAGCCACTGTATATACCGTGGATGTACCTTCAAATATATTACGATTACGATTAGGATAATGGCACGCGGCTGCTGCCAGTACTGAGGTATACGCAACCGGTGCGTGGGTAAAGTCTTTATCAATCACGGCTGTCCGAGGGTGGCGTTACAAAACTGAACAGCGCCCTGTGCTGTAAGCGGTAGCTCATTTCAGCCCCACAGTCAGCCTCAGACAGCTATCCGACCGATCGTCTGTCGCTCATGCACAAACTGTTAACGTCAGAGGCAGTCATCCCAGAGACCTCTCCCTCAAGTAGCTCGGCGCTTCTGATGCTAATTAGTGACGGCTGCGGGCGGGCCCGCGGCCGCAGCGTGCTCTCACTTTCCGGGGTCGACCTCGAAGGCGGAGTCGCGCCACCAGTGCACCACGGCCGCCAGCGTCCAGGCCACGCCGATGCCCAGGAAGACATTGACGCCGTTGGAGCCGGTGACGTTGCCGACGGAGGCGTCAGCGTACCTGTCCTGGACGGCGGCCACCTTACTGGCGAAGGTGTCTGCGGCAGCGGCGCGCGCCGGGGGGGGGGGGAAGGTCAGCCGCGGTCAAACACCGCCACCGGCCGCAGCGCGCCACTCGCACTCGGTCACGGTTTCACCTGACAAATATTTCAACGGCGTGTTACGTTGCTGATATTGCGAAAGTTACCGTTAATGTGTTCGATTTGCCAACACCACAGCGGCTGGCGGTGCTGCGAAACGGTGCTACCACCGCGCATCGGCGCCGCCCACCACAACACGCTACTGATTAACATAACGGGCGCGTTCAACGCTCTGCTTCCACTGACCATCACTGCTTCACAGCAAACTATTCGTGCACATTTGGTTAGCGATAGCAGAACCAGGCCGGCACCGAGCGCCGTGGAGCGGCCAGTCCACATATCCACCCACAGCCAGCACAGCCATGCAAGGTATGTTATATCAAACACATAGATCCCTAAGAGCCAGTGAACGACAGTAAGCGACATGCAACCAGAACATGCCAAGCACATGCCACTAAAAGGTTGGTTGGTTATCAGGCACGTAGGTAGAAGTATCTAAGTGAGGTGGCAATAGGTATGTAGGCTGGAGGTCAAACACTGAAAGCGGGGTGGGTGGGGAGAGGACAGCAGACGGAGCGGCCCTATCGGCGGCGGGCAGCGAACGGACCGTGGCGACTTCAGGGCCAACCGCGGCGCCTCTCTGCCGAGAAGGGCCCGGCACGGCGGCTCATTATTGTCCACAGTCGAGCACCATGAAGCGGGTCATTAGCTCATCCATCTATGGTTCATTACATAGCCACATTAGCTGATGGCCTGACCTCTGTTATGAAGGGAATATGGCAGCCACTGCGCGGCTGTCATATCGGTGCGCCTTTATTTGATCCCGGCTGCCAGTAGACGGAGTGTGTTCGGACGGAGCCGTCTCTGGATCTTTTACCAGAACCAGCCCGCTGAGGTCAAACAGATATTAGCTTTGTGCCTGAGAGGTTAAATTGATCAGCATACGAGCTCCTAACACGAATGAGAGACTCAAACCGAGCTCTCGAAATGCCCAGCGAAACCCCGGGACACGAAGGAGCCGGGGCGGCGAGGTCCGGCAGACCATTTGGTCTGTGAGGGGCGATGGAAAGTCTATGACTGGGTCTGTGACTGGGTCTCTGACTGGGATCGGGTATGTGACTGGGCTACAGGGTCTGTGGTTGGGTCTGTGACTGTGACTGGGTCTGTGACTGGGCTAGAGGGTCTGTGACTTAGTCTGTGGCTGGGTCTGTTACTGGGTCTGTGACTGGGCTGGAGTGTCTTCGACTGGAACTGTCCCAAAATAAGCACGGGCTGCAGGACTGTGACTGAGTCTGGGCCCGGGTCTGGGGCTGGGACGGTACCTGGTACTCTGGTACGGGATGTAGGACTGGGTCTGGGCCCCGGTCTGGGTCTGGGTCTGGGTCTGGTACTCTGGTACGGGATGTAGGACTGGGACTGGGTCTGGGTCTGGGACGTATACCTGGCACGCTGGTGCCCAGCGCCACGATCGAGATGGCCGTGACGCCGTCCCGCAGGTGGATGGTGCAGCCAAAGTGGGAGGCCAGGTCACCGATGACGGCCGTCAGCAGGCCGATCAACACGATCGAGACAAAGAAGCACGGGTAGCCGCTGCGCATCTCTGTCAACACCAGAACCTCGTCAGAGGCTACACCAGTGGCCAGACCGACACGCCGCATTTTTAGTCAGGGGCCGTCCTTGCAATTTGTTGGTGTTACGATGGAGATTTGACCTCTGTGGGGATGCATACTGTCCCGGAGAAGGCTCCGTCAAGAGGACGGCGGCTGAGGAGCGGTCGGCTGGGTCGATGTGAGCGCGTCGTGTGGTGCGGCGAGTCGGGGGGCGCCGAGCGGTGTAAACAGCGGCGCCAAGGGCCGCCGCCGCGCCGCCGACGGAGAGCGGCGCCCGACCGCATCGATCGGCCGCCGGCCGGCAGGGGCGGCACGCGGCCTCGGCAGCGGCCACCGACACGCCAGCGGCAGCCAGTGCCTCCCTCCGGTATATGGAGGCTGTCAGACGGAGCCGCGGCCAGTCCGTGGCCACGACAGGACAGTCCGGGGGCCCAGGACAGGGCCCAATGAACAAGCTTACTGAATGATACATGAATGACTTACACTGACCGTGACTAAAAACAAAATTACCAACTAAACTTCCTAGCAGCTTTTCCAGGAAAAAACCATAGTCACGTATGCATGGGACAGTTCTGATCGTTTTGCAAATAAAATTTATTGGACTTAAGAGAAATGACACCGAGAAGTGGCTTTTGAATCCGTACTTGGTGGGAAGCTTCAGCAAACGCTTACTTTCGTCATGTGGTTTCGCGTGGCGGATATGGTCACGCAAATATCCCAAATAGTAAGTACGTGTATGAAACAGGTCCGGATAAAAAACACTTGACATCTCTGAACAATTATTTTCAAAAGTAAATGCGTAAACAATCCTATTCCTGTAATGATATCAATGAGCAAAAAGCGAACCCGAAAGTATCAGAGGCTGGGTAAAGTACTGCCACAAAATGCTACATTCGTACGACACACGGTGCGCAGCTGGCCGCATGGCCAGACGGGACCGCAGGCATTCCTAGGCTCTGCAGGCAGTGCTGCTGCTGCTGCTGCTGCTGCTGCTGCTGCTGCTGCTCAGCTGCTGCTGCTGCTGCGGTCAGACGGTCGGCCCACCTGCAGTCGACCGTCCCCCTATATCCGACCTCGGTCCCACCCACCTGGCACCGAGGTGCCCAGCGCCACCAGCGTGATGGCGTTGACGGTGTCTCTGAGGCCGACCGTGCAGCCAAAGTGGGAGGCCGCGTCACCGATGACGGCCGTCAGCAGGCCGATGCACAGGATGGCCACCAGGAACGCCGGGTAGCCCCAGTAAAAGCCTGTGGCCGGGCCGGGGTGGCAATCAGCGCGGCCACAGGATCGGGCGCACCGGGGAAGGTGGACCGCCGAGGGCGCCGCGCCGGCCCCGTACCCAGCCACAGGAGCGAGACCAAGCCGCGTGCTCACCTTTCGAGGTCTGACTTAAAAAAAAACGGAGCTCTCCGCTTCAACTCAGAATTAGGACGCTTACAAAGATAGCATTTAGCATGCCTTTTAAATTCGTCTTCTTCCAAGTATATGCACCTCTCCGTTTGCTTCCACTATAAGCACAGTAGCAGTCGGCAAAGTCCCCTTTCTATAGTGTCTCGTAAACCTTATCACAGTGTACTTGATCTAAGATAGGGAAACAGTGAGTTTAGTAGTAGCAGTAGCCTTCCCCTTCGGTAGGGAGACAGCCAGAAGCCACATTGTGCGAAATATGTTGAATACGCAGGACATTTGAGGACTGCTGCCCCAGCAGTCCTTCCACGACAAATCGACATGTGCCCTGCACCCTCATATTTTATTTTTTGCTTAAAATTGGTCTAATGGGTTGTGATGGGCGGGGAAGCCAGCTGTGACAAGGATTTTTTTCTTCGAACAACGGTTTCCGAGATATAGCCTCGGGCAATTCCTGGAGGTCGCGCTGCAGCCCTATGTTTGACGGCCTATAACTAAAAAACTATTGGTTTTCTACGATAAAAACTTTATATGGTTCAACTCACAATCAGCCAGCAAACATTTTCGCTATCTCGGATGTTCAATTTTTGAAAATTTTGATCACGTGACCTTTTGACCTATTTTTCGAAGAGTGACCTTGATACTTTCCCCCCTGAAAGTTGTAATTTTGTCTGATGACGATTAAAGCCTTATCAATTGTCATTCATATGCGAAAATAAAAAAAGTGGATATCGCCCTGCGTTGACCTCAGGTCAGGTCATTTTTATGACCTGTCCATTATTACGAGAGGGAGCGACAGCGAGATCTCGAGAATAAAGCAAGATAGCGACAAGCGGTAAACGGTGCAGGGTACACACGGATAAGGTCTATAATTTTTACTGAGGTCATTTTCAGGTCAGGTCAAAGATGACGTCACAGGAGCAAAAAGGAAGTCAAAATTGCGGCACTACATATATATGAAGTTTTTCTCGAATAACTTACAAGGTATCCCAGCTAGGAGCAAACTAATATCACCATCGTGATCCTCTCGTCGATCCGCATCGAAACATATGTATGTTGACCTCGAAAGGTCGAAAGGTCAAAAGTTGACCTTAGGTCACGTGACCTAAGGTCAACTTTTGACCTTTCGACCTTTCGAGGTCAACATACATATGTTTCGATGCGGATCAACGAGAGGATCACGATGGTGCTATTGGTTTGTTCCTAGCTGGGATACCTTGAAAGTTATTCGAGAAAAACTTCATATATATGTAGTGCCGCAATTTTGACTTCCTTTTTGCTCCTGTGACGTCATCTTTGACCTGACATGAAAATGACCTCAATAAAAATTATAGACCTTATCCGTTTGTACCCTGCAACGTTTACCGCTTGTCGCTATCTTGCTTTATTCTCGAGATCTCACTGTCGCTCCCGCTCGTAATAATGGACAGGTCATAAAAATGACCTGACCTGAGGTCAACGCAGGGCGATATCCACTTTTTTTATTTTCGCATATGAATGACAATCGATAAGGCTTTAATCGTCATCAGACAGAATTGCAACTTTCAGTGGGGAAAATATCAAGGTCACTCTTCGAAAAATAGGTCAAAAGGTCACGTGATCAAAATTTTCAAAAAATGAAAATCCGAGATAGCCAAAATGTTTGTTGTCTGATTGTGAGCTGAACCATATCAAGTTTTTATCGTAGAAAACCAATAGTTTTTTAGTTATAGGCCGCCAAACATAGGGCTGCAGCGCGACCTCCAGGAATTGCCCGAGGCTATATCTCGGAAACCGTTGTTCGGAGAAAAAAATCCTTGCCACAGCTGGCTTCCCCGCCCATCACAACCTGTTACACCAGTTTTCAACGAAAAATAAAATATGAGGGTGCAAATTTAATTTTTTATTTGTCGATTTGTCGTGGAACGCCCCTGCTGTCCTCCTCGTGGTCAGAAATCGCTTCCACCTGTAGTCCAATCATTACGAGCAAGCGCAAAGCGAGCCATTTAAATATGACGGAAAAATCTCAGCATGAGCGACTCGGTCCAGATGCCCGTGAAGTTAGCCAACATTCAGCACAACAAAATTTGCAACGTGGAGCTATAGTCATACAAACTGGGTTGTAGGTCAATTCGAGCACGCTTGTGATGAATATCACCCTTAAAATTACTGCAAAAGAACGGAAATCCCCAGAAGGTTTTTTAAAAAATGACAGAGTGTACCCTTTTCCGGGAAAACGATGCATTCCACGGCATTGCAACAGGTCCCATATGAAAGAGCGCCCTAAAATGCAGGTGGGTCATCTTTCCGATTTTTAATTAAGGGGCCCTTGTCCCTTAAAAAATAAAACCAGTAAAACGCCTTATAGGGCGACAAACGAAGCGAGTGAGAGGGTGAGCCTTGCACTTGCGAAATTGTGAGGGGTACCTCCATCTGACTTGTGCACGGCACCCTTCTAACCGGTCTTTAGCAATGTGCCTATTTTGAGCGCAATCGGCCAAGCCGTTCTCGAGATCTGGAAGCGGCACCCTGCACGTGCGCACGTGCAAAATAGGTCCTAACTGACTTTTGCACGGCACCCTACTAACCAGTCCCGAACCATGTACCAAATTTCAGCGCAATCGGTCCAGCCGTTCTCGAGATCTGGAATCGACCCCTGCACGTGCGCACGTGCAGCAGCACCCCAACTGTGGCACATCGATATGCGGTTCAAAAGTTATTCGTGAAGAAAATTATCCAAAAACAGCTATTTTCACATTATTTGATCTATGGAGGCTTAACCGTTGACCTGAGGACAATTTTGATGATGACCTTATAAATAAAACAAAAGCTATCGATGGCCATTCCATGCGTTTTTCAAGTTATCATAGTTCCTGAGATAACGGTGTTTTCTGAAAAATATGATGACATTTGACAAATTTTGACCTTTGATGACCTCTGGTGACCCCAATATTGCTCTAAGATGAAAAATGACTGAATACTTTCAAACGTACGCATTGAGAGCATCGACTGCTTTTTACCGCGTCTTTCTAGCCCTCTTAGTTTTTTAATTAGAGGTGGGTTGTAACATATGCCCCCCCCCCCCCCCCACTATGGCGAAGCTGGCTGATACCGCCACTGGGGCGCGGGTTAATAAAATAAAAAACCTAAAAAATCACCTTTTCCGGGAAAACGGTTCATTGCAAGGCGTTGCAACTGGTCCCAAATGAAAGAAAGCCTTAAAATGCAGGTGGGTCATCTTTCCGATTTTATTTATATAAGGAGCCCTTGTCCCTTAAAAATCAAAAACCCTAAAAAATACAGAGTGTACGTTTTTCCGAGAAAACGATGCATTGCACGGCGTTGCATATGGTCCCAAATGAAATAAAGCCTTAAAATGCAGGTGGTTCATCTTTCCGATTTTTCATTCAAGGGACCCTTGTCCCTTAAAAAATCAAAACCCCTAAAAAGTCACAGAGTGTACCTTTTTCGGGGGAAACCGTGCATTGCACGGCGTTGCAAATGGTCCCAAATGACAGAACGCCCTAAAATGCAGGTGGATCATCTTTCCTATTTTTATTTAGGTGCCTTTGTCCCTTAGCCCTTAGAAAAATAAAAAAAACCC